ACGTGAAGTGCGGAATAGCCGCACTGGTTCCTGAATGCTAACCTAGAACGACTTCTGCGCCTGCAGACAAGCGAGCTAACGCTTTAATGATGCACAATGGCACAGACATCTGCATCTTGTCTACAAAGGAAGGTGCAAGAAGAGAAATTTGTGATCTGGAACACCAACTCCGCCCCGCAGCATATGTCTCGAAGAAGTGCATATTGCGCTGTCATTACAACCCAACGTCGCCGATCTGAGGGCGCTACATGGAGTCCTCTGAATGGTCTCACCAGGGGTGCATGCAGCCGGGCCACAGTCCTGTGTACCAGTCGGGCCGATGCCATTGTGAACCAGCCGCCAACCTCGCACGGCGAAAATTCGCCGTGCATCTTTCTACCGTCCATCAGAGATGCGGTATCATGCGAATTTGGGTTCATATCGATGACAAGAAACGCGAGGATGACTGTCTCGTTATAAACGATTTCATGACCAATCACAGGATGACATCTTATCTAATCTCCCTGGCCGAAATCGGCGTGCATTCGCAACACTTCTTTGAAGCCGCGTCACCTTCGACACGAATCACTATGGTGATATCGCGAACGCGTATGCTACTGAAAAACTCATACCCGGTGTAGTTCACAGATTTTGCTTGAGAGAATGTTATGCGAGGATCGCTAATAAGCAACTGCCTTCATTCTGGCCCAAAGGTGGGATTTGAAAGTCTCTCCACTACACAATGTATCTCCAGCATTTGGCTGTTCTTCCACTCTCCATTCTTGTTCTTCCTATATCGCATGCTACAAACAGAATTCCGGAGGTGCCTAATGCGAACCATGTCTTCAACGCCGTTCATTCGTCCATGAGACAATGGGGTTCGTCACTTAATCACAATGGAATGTCTTTCTTCCTCGCCACAGTACCAGCTGAAACAGAGCTCTACCACGGAACTTCGAAGCAAGAAGAGATATCCGGGACAGAGTGGTTGGCGTTTGAACCAGAGCACGCACTCATCTTCGCACGGCCTCATCTGGGACCGCCGCCAGGAGAAGGGCATGGTCCGCCAAACGATCGACCTCATTATGGAGTAGATGAACCGGACAGACGACATAACGGAAAACCATCTCCAATGATGGATGATGGTAGGAGGCGTCACTCAGATGCTGCGCGTTTTGCTGATTCAAAACTCCCAGGAGTGACGCCGGCATGGCCTCCTTGGAAACGGCCACCATCCCACGAGCGATCACGAACACGTCCCTCGACGTATGATCTTAACCACTATGAACGACTTAATCGTGAACCTCCTGCACATCGTGGAGAAAGAAGCGACACTCAGCAGCCACTGAGCTCACATGCATCGAAAGATAGCACCGAGTACGGCTACTTACACACTTACACACCAAAACATAACCTTCGCCTGCTATACCTTGATGGCCTTTCCGCTGGAAAGACTCCTAATGGCACACTCGATACCCAAGACATGCTACTCCTTAATCTCACTGACTTGGATAGCCCTATGGCAGGCGAATATCAGCGCGCAGAAGGTCTTTGCAATCTAACCAAAACACTGTGGGAAAATAAGATCGATGGCGTCTTGCGCATGGAGGCTGGCTTCGAAATTATACTTTGTGACTTTACGGAGCATCTGCAAAGAAAGGACGTTGTTGCGATATCTCAACACGAGCACCGTGGTGCATCTGGAAAGGGACCAGATGGCTGGCAGTACCTCAAAGCTATCACCTCGCGCTACCAAGGGATCGGCGGTAATAGGGTGAAGTTGGATCTTGAGAACTTCGTTAGCGTCTTTGCTTATCCCAACATCGACGGGCTGTTTGACAACGACGTACAGTCCGACTATGCTATGCCTAGACTACAGAATGTCAGAGAGGGTGACCGTATGCGTGTCAAAGACGATGTCACGGATATGATCCTGCGAAAAGACTGGAACACAGACGAACAATTGCGCGATTGGCAAGCAGTGGCTGACATGGTAGTACAGCGGTACAGCAAACCTCTTCATCACCTTCACACCGACAAGGACATTCGAGAAGACAAGGATGCACTTACTCTTTACCTCGCCACGCTACTTCGTCCCTTCATCTCTTCCGCTCGCAACGCAACACTGGAGACACAACGCTGTGTGTCTCAATACATCCCCACATTGCCTTTACCGCCACAACCGGTCGCCTCTCTGGCGCACCTCAACCTATACGTTGTGACGCATCGGCTGTGCGACACACTCCTGACTGCACTTTCCATCGCCTCTTCGCCTACGTCTCACTCTTCATTCACGTCTGTGTATGCCTCACATGCTGTCGAACTTATCGATGATCTAGTTGAGTTTCTACGCTGGACAACGTGGAAGGACTGTGGAGCATGTGCGGACGAAAAGGTCTGCTTCATACCCATCTGGCCGATGGGCTCACATGAGGATCATGCACACCCAAGATGCAAGCGTGAAGAAGATGTAGAAGACGGAGGTGGTGGGTATTGGGGCTCAAGGAGGAGATCGCATGGGAAGAGAAGGATGAAGAGGGATAGGAAGTATGAGTTTACACGTTACAGGAATTGAAGTCGCTGACTGAGGTGTCCTTCCCGTGTCCGGACAACGCTTTGCTACCACCACAACAGGCCTTTTTGAAGCCTTTTCTCAAGTTAGATCTACTTTAATACTATACAATTCACGAGCACTTCCGTTTCCACCCTGGAGTTCTGGAGAGCACCGGAAGCGTTTTTCATCTACACACTCATCTTGTATCGTCTAGTGCCTACCTAGGGTAACATCACCCTCCACAGCACATCCGCAGACACAAAGACCCCGACTACGTATGTGACTATCCCAATTCACTTCACCGTGCACAAAATCGCCTATGCCTACCACAGCACGCCCACAAGCAACACACGCTACGGTTAAACCCAACGTTCGGGATCCCGGATCTCGCCTCGAACTAGCGATTAGCGTAGCGCGGCGTGGGGTCCAAAAGCCGCGCCAGCACGCGCCCCACTCACTGCCTTTGCTCCAAGCTTTTGCAGCTTGTGAAAAGCAGGAAAGTCCATGTCGACGGGCTAACCCCTGCCTGGCGTGCCATGGCCGCGAAGATTGCCGCAACAGGTATGATGCTGCGAGCCAGGTGCACAGGTGGGTACCTGATGAACAAGACTAGACTTGTGTGGATCATTTCCTGTCTTCTCGATGGGGAACTGGGACTGGGTGCAAGGGTAAGGAACGCGCCAGCTCGCAGACGTCGACCGATTCTGATTCGGGTGTTTACTGCCGGCTTGGATCGTCTTCGTTCGGGATGGATTGGAAACTGGATTGGGACCGGAGTTGGCGTTGGGTGAGGCGAGATGAGTCTGATGCATGTGGGACGGGATTTGTTTCGGGGGAAAGAAACCTGGAGCTTTGTCGGGTCGCTTGTCGCATGTCGGGAGGTCTAGGGGAGGACTTGGCATTGCTTTGAGCATGTACACGCGGTGCTTCCTATCAGCATGTCATCGCAAGCGTTGGTGTAGTAGTATTAGTTGTGTCGATGTCACTCCTTTCCGACAGACGCTCTTAACACGATAATTACCTCAAGCACAGCGACACGGTAACACGTCTTCTCTGATGATGAATAAGGGACACTCGCTGAGACGCTCAAAATGAGGCCTGCAAAATTACATGTTTCGTCGCTTGAACAACCTCACAACTCCAGCATCAACGGTCAAGTAAAGAGACCATCTATCCTTTCCATCTCCGACCGCCAAGCAGATTTTTCGACCACGAATCGGTTTCCGGAAGAGGAGACACCCGCCTACGATCCGCAGTTTCGATTCGAAAAACACTAGAACAACGCTATACGAGTCGTCCAAGTAGTGCCCTTCTTCCGCTCGACCCTCAGATATAGTACTTGTGACACCAACACCAGCGCCGGTCAGTTTCAATGCCACACCAGCAAAAACCCCACAGGGCGGGCCGACACTCGCCACAGCTACCCTTCCAACCACACTCCATTATTTCCACGACTAGGTTGTTGGTTTTGAGATCGCCAGTTCGCTATCGGGTGAGTAGAACTCACCCGCATCGACACTAGATTTAAGCTTTACTCCGACGTACTATGAACTCTTAGCAAGCAATCGCAGCGAACGCCACATTATTGCGCTATCGCGAGATCTAAGGATGGTTCAGAGCCGGTGTGAGTGCGATAGTTGCTGAGTCGTGAGATTATAGTGCGTTGACGTAGCAATGGATGAATTTTGTGTCTTGGGTAGTACAATCAAGCTGCATGAAACGACCAGCACGGTATCGAAGGCAGAACTTTGTCGGATTATTCCGCACCATGAAGTTTGATTGAGGAGCTTGCAAGATAGATTCGGACTGGTTATCGGATTTACATCTCAGTCATTACAGGTGGGCAGACTTGGTGTCACATGTCTGATGTGCCTAAAACCTTACTGTGTAGGTAAGCGCTTACAGAGAAGGTCATTAATGATGAGTTGCATCGTATACTCTACGTAGAAGTATGCATAGCTTTCGATCTTCTTAGCCCTCTAGAAGAAAATATAGCAGCGAATTCCTCTGGGATAGACTATACTCTGGATCTAATCCAAGATGGGTATTTACCGTCTCTAGTGCTCTTATTGTGGACGGAATATTCTCCTCCAACCCTTGTGCCCTCAAAGTACTTTGTCGTCTTGGTTGAATCTCGGCCTGGATCTGAAGGCAAGGCCAGTCGGACGAAGATGGCCAAAACGTGTACCATGATGATGCTGGCAAGACATGTTGAATAGCCCTATGCTTTCGCATCGCAGAGCAAAGTTATTCCTTGAAGTGTCCCGAGGACTCGTTGTTTCCCTTCTTGGATAATTGTGTCCATGATCTATAGCTCTCGCCCAGCATGTGAGGCATAGGTGCCACTCAGCGTCAATCGCACATAGGCCGAAGTCAGTCTCGTTAGTCTCGTCGGTAGAATATGGTCTTATGAGATAGGTCGTTCAAGTGTCTCGTCGACACCCCGGCTTTGTCCATCTCTATGGCCTCAAGTGCCCGACGGTCTGAAGCGCCCATTGCCTGGCCATTCTGAGGGTACATCGGGAGTATTGATGAACTCCCAGAAGCCATATATGAGGCATATGAAGATGAACACGACCAATGCCTGTCCAAACCATTCAGGAAGTGCGCGATGGGTGGACTCGACTTCGCTGCTCGCTATGGAAGATTCCTCGCTATATGGTCTGAAGGTGCCATAGCCTGGTGGCGCACCAGTCATCCCGACGGCATCGTCGTAGGATGGTGGAGGCTCGTCGGGCGGAGGGTATTCAAGAGGCGGGAGGTGTACGGGCGGATCATGGTCATGGTCAGGGGCATGGTGGTGATGATGGTCAGGTTGGAAGGTGTCGGCCGGTGGTGGGGCAGGTGGGGGATCGTGTGAGGCCTGCTGCTACGGTCAGTTATGGCCGAGATGTGACGACGATGAAGTAATGACCGGTGCTGCGGCGTGCATGTTGCGCTGGCCTCGGTGATTTGTAGGGCAACTGTCTAGGCTTCATGGTGTTGTAGCTGATGTCGCGTGCGGCGCGCGTCGATGACGGGCATGTCCCACGGCACGGACCCCTTCGCGCCGAAGTGCTTCGTGTCCACGGTCGCAATGGTCTTGGTAGATAGCCAGGCAGCGGATTATACGCTCAACACCACCACGACCAGGAGCAGCATGTCCAGCGCCCTGCCATTGATACACGGACACATCGATACCTGCCAGACACAGTATGTCGGCTGATCCCACTGCTAACCTGCAGGTCTTCTCACCACCGGGCTCTGGCCGCTCGAGTCCAGCACCGCGGTCGGCGCGCCATGCAGCCGAAGAGCGTATGTCTTCTTTCTGGGTCTGGGACTTTGTGAAGCTAACCGTAATAACACAGCTCTGTACAAGAAAGACAAGAACTTCCGACGATATGCGGCCGGTGTCGAACGCGCTCTCGCCCTCTGGGACACTGCACAGCAGGAATGGGCCGACTACATATCATTCTTGGGACGGCTGTTGAAGGTCAATACCGCCATGCTACTCCCATCATGAGACAAAGCGCTTATACAAACCACCGTCCAGGCCCTGCAAGCGCATCCTCCAGAGATCCCCGCCATACCACATAGCGATACTGTCGCACTGCGATTAGCGCAGTGCTTGAATCCAACACTGCCCTCGGGCGTTCACCAGAAAGCCCTCGAAGTCTATGACTACATCTTCTCTACCATCGGTGTATGCCTGCCTCCCTACGTCAGCCCAGCATAAGCTGACCCATGCCCAGAAAGATGCACTCGCCCGTGACCTCAACCTCTACTTCCCCGGCCTTGCTTCAGTCCTCTCCTTCGCCTCGCTCTCGGTCCGTCCCCTCTACCTCTCCGTCTTCGAAAAGCACATCCTGAAGCTTGACGGAGCTGCACTTCGCCCGGCCTTGAAGGCAATCATACTTTCTCTTCTACCTGGACTAGAAGATGAGACAAGCGAGGACTTTGAGCGCATGGTTTCTGCAACCGAGAAGCTGCGGACCGCTGTGCAAGACAATTCACACGAGACAGCCGATTCCAAGACGGCCAGTGCCTCGTCCCACTTCTGGCAATGCCTTTTCCTGGCAACCATCACGAACCCTTCTAGGAGGCAAGGTGCACTTGCTTTCCTTGTACGTCGCCTGCCCAAGTTCGGACGGCCAGAGCGGCGCAACTCTCCTTCTGACATCTCTACGCCCTCAGGAACATTGTCCGACGAGGCTGAGGCAGCTACATCGCCAGAGCCTGGTCTCCTTATCCGTTGCTTCGAATCAGGCCTATCAGATCCTCAAATACTCATTCAACGAGGCTTTCTTGATCTGTTGGTCAGCCATCTACCTCTCGACTCACCCGTCCTGCAGGAGCGTGTTGGCAAAGGGGATTTGGAACGACTTGTAGCTGCCGCTGCCAGCGTTGTGTCGCGCAGAGACATGAGCTTGAACCGCCGGCTCTGGGCATGGTTCTTGGGCCCAGAACCCACTGCTGTTGAGGCCAACGATGGGGTCACATCTCCAACAACGGACAAGCACAATACGACAGTAGATCCTTCAGCACACCAAGCTGCCTTCTTTTCGCGATACGGTCTCGAGGCGCTCACAAACAGTGTCCTTAAGATGATTAATCGTCGTAGCGCATCACCTTCCGAGAGAGCACGTCCTTTCCGAGTCTGTTTATCTCTCATGGACCGATGGGAAGTAGGTGGGTTGATTGTACCCGAGATCTTCCTGCCCGCTTTACGAAGCGTTTACTCGTACAGCGAGACTGCACCCAAGGACCAAGTCGACGAAGTCATGAGAAGTGCTAGCGCATTCTTCGATGGCGTCGATAGCGGCCTCATTTGGGGCAAGCTGATTCACCTTATCACGTCTTCTTTGCAGACAGATGGGGCAGTTAATGATGAAGCTTTACAGAAGATGAAGTTGGCCAAGTTCGTTCTAGCCCGCTTCAATCTCAAGGAAGAAGATATGTTGCTGCATCACATGCCTTTAATGGTGCTTTCGTCACTTGTGTCCTTGAATGAAAGCTCCGGAAAGACCCGCAAATCACCAGCGGGCGCAGAAGTCATGAGTCTTGCCCTCGAGATTGCAGATTCACTTGTGCAGATAGTACCAGACCGGTCGTTTCGAGGCGATCAAGCAACGGACCAGCAGATATCCGCAGCTCTCAAGATACCACGATCCACTGTGATCCAGCAAATCCGGGCATTCTACGAAGAATCTCAAGGAAGTCTTGATGCAGCTGACCCCCCTTTCGAGCCACCACTGCTTGGTCAAATCGTGCTTCGTGAGGCTTCCTGCATGTTCACAGCATCCATCCAGTCGACGGACTCTGAGATCTCTGTAGAGATGCCTTCCAAGATTTTGTCTAACCTGGTATTCAAAACGCAATGCTTAAAGGCAATTGAGGACATTGATCTCACTGCCATGCTTGCAGACATTCTCCAAACGTCTGACGAGTCTAACAAAGATCTTTCGTTCTCGCACTTAAGTGCTGTTACGACTGTTTTGCTGGCACTTCAAACAGCACTTGCGTCGAGACCTCATATCCCCTCTAGCCAATTGCCTGAGCTCATCCATCCTTTAGTTCAGTACTTCTGGCAATATCTCTCGCCGACATTGCCCAAATACCATGTCGAGACGGCACGCTCCTTGCTGCAGCTGCATTCCATTGCACCTACAAGCCGGATGGTTGAAAGTGCCATTGCTTCTATCATCGTGGAGCAGACGGGCCGCGATTCTATCTCCAACAGCTCTCCCGACTGTGCCCGACGATTTGCGACACTATGGACGCATATCATGCACGAATTGAACTTGCAGTCAGAAAAGCGTGTGACCATTACGCGCCGACCGAGTGGTAACGTCACGCAAGCCCCAACGCCCGCTGGTGACTTTCATTCTGTTTTGACAAGGCCGCTACTCCTACTTCTGGACACTCTGACAGAAGAGGGCTCTGAAACCTCGACATTCATGCAAAACTGGTTGCCAGATTTACCAAGCTTGAATAGAGTCTTTGAAGTACTCGCACTACACATCCAATCGCTCAATTGTCTCCTAGCTTCAGGCAATCTGGCACCTGCCAAGGGGTCGCAGGAACGACCATCGCACTCTAGAAGAGATGATACAAAAGAATGCCTGTACTACCTCAGACACGTCTTTGATGTCATCAAAAGACCAACACACTTCACTTGGGTAACTCTTGCCGAAGTAACTCTTACGTGGCCAGAACCATCATCATCGCGGATTTCCATCCAGGAGTGGCTCATACGTACTTGCTTGACCACATTGTCGCTTCGAGCTGGTACTTCGGAATCAAACCTGGAGCCCCATATACATGAACTACACCGACTGTCCGTCTCCGTCATATCGCAAATCTATCGTAGTCCATTTGCTCCGCCGCTTCGAGACTTGGAACTTGAAGTACCCTTGATGGCAAGACTACGATCAGCAGGCCCATCTTTGCAAAGTCTTTTACTAGATGCAGAGTTGGCCGCACTGAAACTCCGTCTTACCCGTCCACCAGAGCCCGCACCAGAACCAAAACCTTCAAACCACCCAGCGAACCGGTCACGTCTGTCATTAGCTTTGAACAGAGATTCGGAAGATAATACGCCAGCGCCCATACCTCCACCTCCTCAGCTTGTTGAGTGCTTAAAATTCGGGTTTTCCTCCCCAGCTAGTCGTTTGGTCCTTGACGACTGGATTCAATTCCTCGTTGAGGTTTTACCAATGTTCGCTGATACAATATTCCAAAACCTCCTTCCGCTTGTGGAATGTCTCTGCAAAGAGATCAACCTTGCATTTGAGCAGCTCAAGTCAACATTCGCCAAGACACAAGTCGTGCCGACAGTATCACCAGAGTCCACCCTGATATCGCTCATGAACGGTTTAGAGCAGATTTTGGCCAAGGCACACGAGCGTTTGACAACACAAGAGACGAGGGTGTCGGCCAGCAAGTCTCCGGAGCAGCCTCAGGGCTTCTTCAGCAACGTGGTATCTGGTCTGATTTCGTCTGATACAAACCAAACTCGCACGCCAACCGCGAACAGCAGACTCTCAGTTCTCCTATGCTTCCAAGACACGGTCCGTATATGCTTTGCGATATGGTCATGGGGACATATGCTAGAAGTACAAGACCATACTTCAGCATCGTCGTTCTCTTACACTTCTCTGCGCATGCGCAATCGAGCCCGCCGTACATTAGAACATCTATTTGCTGCGGAGGCACTGGAATGTCTAGAGACATTGGTAGTCCTATGGGCGCATGCGACCCCTGATGATACGCAGGGACCAGCTATTACAGGACTTCTGAATGTCCTCAACGGGTCAAAGCCAAAGCACACAATACCTGCGATTTTCAACGCCGTGTACAGCCGGACCGATCCTGGGGCTTTGGACACTAATCGACAGTCAACACTCACCTCTGATCTTACCGACGCCGAACTAGTCGCCTTCTTGGTTGAATATACGACTTCTTTAGAGGACGATGCTATGGACGAGATATGGCAGGATTGCACTCTATTCTTGCGAGACGTGCTTGCGAATCCCCTCCCACATCGACAGATTCTGCCTACGCTGTTGGAGTTCACCGCTGTCATAGGTCAGAAGGTTGACAACACTAACTTCGGAGAGCAGCGGAAGATGCGGAGAGAGCTAGCAGTAAGTATATGTCTTCGTTCGATGTAGAGGTGCTAATCACGTGTACAGGATATCTTTGCTAGAATCTTGACTGCGATCTTCACAACACGCTCCATGGGCTATTTGCAAGACTCAAATCAAGCTGCAAGTGAAAAGACGACTGCGATAACCAACGGCATCCGCGCACAGAAGCGAGCAACTGACGTTGTTTCTATCCTCACCACCATTGTACCAAAACTGTCGATCATTCTGGTAGAAAATGATCGTGTTGCAAAGGTCGTCTCTGACATCTCTGCATCTGTCATTGGCCCCACCTTCCGTGCAAAAGCGTTCCCTGAGAACGTATCGAGGAACACGTTGGATCTGCTTCAAGGTCTTACCAAGATTGCACAAGGCAACAAGCTACTCAAGAAAGACATCTATGATGCCTTCAATGACCCCAAATTCTTCAATACACCGCCCCTTCTACTGAGAGAAGCTTGGCTGCCTATCCTCGCACAGTGGACCCAGTCTGACAAGGAGCGAGTCCCCGAACTACTATCACGGCTTTCAGCACCCACAACGGCTGGCCTCATGTTTGGCGTAGGTGCAACGTCTGCTCGGCAGGAAGCCGACAGGAAGACACAGCTTACATTACGTCGCATTGCTCTTCTTATTCTAGGTAGCCCTGAGGATGCTTTCACGCCGAACATACCCCAGGTTCTGGAGAAGGTTGTCGAGTTACTTACCGCAACACCCGCATCTTCTCCTTCGTCAATCACCCGTACAGATGTCATAGTGCTGTTACGTGCTATCATTCTGAAGACCTCACCCATCCACCTCGCGTCACTTTGGCCGGTTGTAAACGGCGAGTTAACATCTGGGTTATCGGCCCTGTTGCCAGACGCTTCAAACAAGGAACACTATAACAATGCCGGCATAATCCAGACATGCAAGTTACTCGACGAGCTAGTTGTACTAGACCCCGATGACTTCCAACTTATGGAGTGGCTGTTCATCTCCGACACCATCGACGCCGTGTACAAGCCTGTCACACCACCGACGCTGATGTCTCTTACAGACGAGATCAACGAGGTTCTTACCAGGTCATCAACAGCACCTGCGATGCCTGTAACTGCGATCAATGGATCAGATGCTAATGAGCCCAAGCGGACATTATTCCTAAATCCGCTCATCGAGGCTCTCGAAAAGGAGGAAGGCGCTGCGGTGCTGGAGATGACCAGAGGAGAGCTTGTGAATCGGTTGGTGAGACCATTCTTGGGCAACCTGGCAATGAATGCGTTCGAGGCGAGATATGGGGGTGGAGAAGCGGATTGGCAGGGTATTTGGGAGAGTGTGGTCAAGGATGCGGCAAGCTAAGCGCAGCGATGGTAGATGGAAGGGTATAACAGGAAACTGTTCTGGGCCGATGCTGGTTGATGGCATGGTACAGATGAGATCTTCTAGCTGCAGGGACTGACGCTTTATCTCAGAAAGTGCAAGACCATGTGTGCGGAGAGGGTCGAATATGTCGATCCTGCTTAGCGCCTTATACGTTAGATATCTCTCAAAATTTCGTCATGTACCAACACAGTTGTCCAAACATCTATCATGTTCTGGCTCTCAAATTTTACACATGCTGTTCAACCTTTTCCACTTCATCTTTTACATTGGTACACAACTTGTCTTCACGTTTTCGGCTTGCATGCCAGTCTTGAGGGTTATGCGCGATTTGAGTACAATAGACCACGAATTGGTCAAAATGATACATACGACCATAGGACACTGAAAATTAGGCTTCCCGTCCGCTCAGCCATATACAAGCAGTGTACCGGCGGATTAGTAGTTAGGTGGGTGACCACTAGCGAATCCCCGCTGTTGTATGTTTTTGCCCATCTTTTTTTTTGATGCGATAACGTACATTACATGTCCTTCTCTTTTTCGCAGATCCGCTTGTGGTGGACAGTTGGTAGAAAGAAATCATTGATTCGGTCGCTTGTGAGATACTGGTCCTATTGCAAGTCTAAAGCTTTTGTAACGACATCAGTGGTCTCCTCTTATCCTTCATCGCCGGCACATGAACGCTCGTGCATTGAAGTAAGTTAAGCTTCTTGCATCTGAAACAAGCATCTCCTGTGCTTTTGCACAAATACAAGGTAACTGTGTCTTTGCCTGGTTTTCCTGTCTTATTGGAACCCCAAGTTTTGCTGGAAATGGATTTAACCGACTTCCACGAGGCGGCAAAGTAGGTAGTAGCTGGACAGAAACATGGTATGAATACCGTTGAGCTTCGAGAAAGATGCTGTGAGGCCCCAAAGATTTGTTGGTGCGGCGTAAACGCTGGGTAGCGGTAATGCTTGGTATGCGGCTTGCAGTGTCTTGGAGCCCTACGCGAGCATCCCTTTGGCCTTTTACATATGTTGGCAGGGTACGAGGTGGCTGTGTGACTGGTCGCATCATGCTTGCCTACTCATGCAGGAGCATTCATCGTGTGTTGAGCAGGGTGTCTTCTTTATCCCAGAGAATGAATGCTTCACTCTGATCCGTCTTCCTCATCGTCTTCATCCTGCATAATGGCTTCGCATTGCTCTCTGAGCTCTTGTACGCCAGTGACACCTTTCCACTTGTCGAGTATCCTACTGACCTCTTGCCATTCCTTTTCTGCGTCGTCGTCTTGGTCTCGATCTATCATGTCCTGCAGACGTCGCGGTGTGTCCAATACCCACCTGACCGTGTCTTGTTGTCTCCGCTTCTTGTTCATGTCCAGTTTGTCTTTTTCATCTTGCTCAACACGTATGCTTATGCCCAATCCTTCTTCTTTTGACTGATGGCTGCCCTGTAGCGAGGATGATAGGGAAGCGGCTGTCTCGGCGATATGTGATATGGCGGGGCCGAGTGTATGCGTAGTCGGTGCGAGAGGATCCATGTTGCCGCGCATGCGTCGGATGGTGCTAGTTGCGGAGAGCAGCTTGGAATAGTTGTCGTAGACCAGGGATTTGCGATCGCTGTCTAGATTCCTGATCTCTGTACCAGCATTAGCTTGTGGTTTACCCACTGCCACGTTCAGAGTCATAGCATACGAGACACCAAGTCTGCCTCGACCTTCAAAACACCCTTCAGGCCTTCTTTTGCAAGCAAACTCTCTACAAAGGCTTCTGCGTTGAAGTCGGCAGCGTCGAGCTCTGTGAGTGTCTCGTCTTCTTCTGGCCCGAGCTGGGTTGCCGAAGATTCTTCGGATATCCTGGCATCTGGTGTTGCGTCTCTAGGAGCATTCCTGAGGCCGTAGAATTCGCGAAGAGCGGCGCGGTTTCGGCGTGCGGCCGGGGGTGGGCGATGCGACGAGCTGCTGTCGATTGAGGTGCGGGTTAATGAGGGGCTGCGGACTGAGGAGCTGGCGCGGGGAGAGGCTATAGTTGACATGTTGTAATGTTGTCTGTTTGAATGTCTTGTAAGGTTTGTTGGATGGGATGATGTTGAAGCTCGAGTTTCATGTGAAGGGGCCGAGGCCACAATTCGTGAACAAACGCCCCACGTCATTCTACGCGTCGCGTTTCCCACACATCTTTAGCCTTATCCGCGAAGAAGCAAACCTACGCACATACTTCACATAATTCCAATTGATTACCGGTATGGCAGCTAATATCGCAGCTGAGCTAACACAGCACCTAAATGCGCGACATCTCTATCCTACCGCAGCATGGCTGCAAGGCTTCCTCTCCACAACCCGACCGAACACGCCATTGCCCGCCATCAAGCAGACCGCCCACTTCCGCCTACTAGCCACCGACATTACCACGTCGCTCAGTCAGCCTGCAGCATCGTTATTTCCCAACGATGTACTAAAAGGCACGATTCAGTCTCGTATCGTCCCCGGCCCAGTTGTCTGTCAAGTGCTCGACGTCGAAGACATTGGCCACTCGCGTTGGTCCCAGGTAGAATCTATCGAAGCGCAAGAGCGGGGTGAAATGACAAAAGGGAGAGAGATTGTGCGTGTTGTAGAACAAGAAAACGAGGGGACTGTTGAGGCTGCAGCACCCATGCAGAGCAAAGGTCCTTTCAAGCTGCTACTGCAGGATGCTAAAGGACTCAAGATCTATGCGATGGATCTGCGAGGCATTGACGGGCTCAACACAAACATGGCCATGGGTGCCAAACTTGTACTGCGTAATGTTGATGTAAGAAGAGGCGTCGTTATGCTTGAGCCGAGCAATGTTCAGATGTTAGGCGGAAAATTGGAGGCACTTGACAAGGCTTGGAAAGAGGGGAGGAAAGAAAGGCTTATGGCAGCGGCTAAGGTGACAGGATAGGTGGCGGGGTACTAATGTCTTACAGCAGTCCGATCTTTCGGGTCCGAACCTCAGCCTACCTGTCTCTCAACAGCGTCAACTTAACAATGTTTTGTGATACCTGTGTTGGCGTATTGCAGCATCGTCATAATGTCATCGACGTGACAAGACCTGGAGATCCAAGCCGTGATCCAGATTACGGATTAGAATATACTGTAAGCACATTCAGCGAAATGGCCTATATATATATTGAAGTAGACACGACTGATTTATTTTCATAAGTTCGGTCATCATACCACTTGTGCTTCTCTTGCTACGTCAGCAAGTCATGGGTGTCGTATCTGTCAGAAAGTGTGGAACGTACTATCCAGCGATGAACAGGAATCCTCGCGTGCTGTTAATTCTAGAGAGGGTGAGGCTTCTTCAACTGAGACCCCGGCGCTAGCATTTGTTACGACCGCGGAGTTGAGCCACTGGGCAATGCCTAATACATTTAGCTTGGCTCTACGCTACAATCCCGAGGTGTTTGTAGGCGTCGACAAGCACAACATGTTCGTCCTAGAGCCGGATAAGAGTAAGTCTTGTCATAGTAGAACACGTACTTACGCTGACCATCGAATGGGTTGTACGCCATCTCTGAATTCCGATGCACAAGCTGGCTTCACCAGTGACCGGACGTCTTCAGTCGAATCTATGCAGATGGCTGCCAAATGGTTACAAGAGTGTGTCAATTCACACCTATCTTGCAACACATCTGAGGGCGGTAGCACTTGGTACCCAACGCGTCTCTTACATCTGGCCGACCCTAGTGAAGACAAGAACTACATTCGACTCATACGCACAGCACGAGAACCACCAACCGGTCCTTATGCTACCTTGAGCCATCGCTGGGGTAACAACATGCCTTTCCAGCTCACTCAAACAATGGAATCTGAATCGAATCTTCGTTTCCCATTGACTGACCTACCCAGGACCTTCCAAGAAGCCATTCAAGTATCCAGACAATTGGGAATTCTCTACCTGTGGATCGATTCATTGTGTATAATTCAAAGTGGAGATGATCGTCAAGACTGGTACCGAGAAGCAAGCTCGATGAATATGGTATATACAAACTCTTGCTGTAATATATCTGCGACAGATGCAGAGGATAGCACGAATGGCCTTTTCCGACATCGCGACCCTCTTTACATTGGTCGCCCGCGCGTCAAAGTCAACTTGGACGATTTCCAGCCAGATACTGAACTTGTGGAGTGTCTGATGACCGACCTTCTCCTCTGGCCACATATCCTAATGCATTCGCCCCTCGACAAACGTGGATGGGTTTTCCAGGAGCGTTATCTTGCACCGCGAGTTCTGCATTTCTGTCGAGACCAGTTGTTCTGGGAGTGTCGAGAACACACTGTATGCGAGACCTATCCTCAAGAGCTACCGCTTGTGAGTCTGTATTATACTGCAGCATTTCTCAAATCTCTAGAGAAAAACCGACAACGTATTGCACAACGGCTTGGCGGGAACAAAATAGGCGAAACAGACTGGGAGGACTTATGGACCACATTGGTCTTCCTGTATAGCCCCAAAAACCTATCTGTTCCAGGAGACAAATTAGTCGCCCTTTCAGGCGTGGCTAAGAATGTAATACCTCATATGAAAGACGCTTATATCGCTGGGATGTACCGCAAGAATCTAGAGAGGTTGCTGATATGGCAAGTATCTATTAGCACGTCACGTCCGCCAGGTTACCGTGCGCCGTCCTGGTCCTGGGCATCGGTGGATGGAAGAATATCATGGGATTCTGAGATCAACCAACAATCCCTGATACATGTCGAAGATGTCGTACTCGATTACGCAACTGAAGATATCACAGGAGCGGTGACAGGTGGGTGGTTAGATCTGCGTGGCTATCTCAAGCCTATGAGATTACAAGGTGCCAAACACGATGAAGGCATAGACTGGTACATGATTGTTGGCAGTAGCATCGTCTCCAGACACAACGGTAGCCACACACTTCACAAGATATTCGTAAAGCTCGATACTTTGTACGGTGAGGAGATAGCTTTCGATAACGATAATACGGAAGAGCGGCTGTTCTTTATGCCTGCGTTCAATAAACGCAGTCCGGATGGGAGGAGTCAAGTAAAGTGCCTACTCACCAGGCTTAAAAACCTTAAGAGCAAGTTTTTTGAGAGAATCGGATGTGTTGACAGGTACTTGGACGACGACGAAAAGGACGTACTGTTGGCAGAACTGGACGAAGATACAAGGGCTCGTTTACCGTGTATGCGCTACGAGAACGGGCTTCATACAATCCGGATCGTCTAGAACGCCATCTAGCCTTAGCCAAGCACGCCAAACAATACTTCAAGACTTTGTTCTCTTTCCGCATGAAGAAATCGAAATCTCTGGATTCCCTTCTAGATTTTGGCAGCGCGCCTCTGACGAGCACTTGGCCCAAATAGTGCTGAAGTTCAGGGTTCAAGTCTGAGTCTGAGGCGTAATAGCGGGGGTGGCCGCGCCTCGGCCAGTCCCAATCATCTGAGCACGCGACAGCCAGGACACGCACAGTCAGCCGGTGACGTAGCGCGAGGGAATGTATATCACAACCCCAAATGCCCCGCGGACGTAAGTCCGACACGCCAGATTACCATCATCTGAACATCCCAACCTAGTCAACCTTGAATCAACCTACAACATCAATTATGGCTACTACCGACCACACGGCGCAGTTCCAGGGTACGACTACGTTGCCCCATTTTTGCGCTATTCTCCAATGGCATTGTCGCCGGTTGTGTAGCAATGTACAAGCACATGTATACTAACACAATATAGAGCCTCCTGTCAATGGACTTCCAGGGGCTACAAGCACTACCCCATCTCACGTTGATGTTGATGGCCCGTCCCGTGACGACATCGACCTCCAATTTCAAGGTCCGTACTCGTCCTTGTGTTCATATTCGATTAGCATCTTTCTACCACTCAAATTTGTTGCCTACTCACTCGCACAAATATCTGACAAATATGCTAAAACATCTCCATAGAACCTATCGCTCCTGAAACCTCTACTTCTACATCCACCTCTACATCCACCAAAGATGACAATAATTCGCTTCAGAAAACTACTACTGAGAAGCTCAAGGATGCTGTGAAGAAGCCATTCACCAGCTCAGACAATACTTCCAACTCGCAAACGTTAGGCGAGAAGGACATTACCAGCCCAGAGATGGCCGCTGCAAATGAAGTCCTCGCAGACAAGAACCTGAAGTCGCCGTAAGTAAGGAAGAACGGACAAGGCGAAGGAGGGAGCAATGAATGTGGGGCGCTAAATTGATACCCGAAGATTTGGAGCATGGGTCGCGACAGAAGATACTGTGCACATTTCAGATTCATGAACGCATTTTAAACGGAGTTGTGATCTTTAGGGCAAGCCCAACAATAGTCATTTAAATCAAATCCATCTGTTGCACGATAGATCGACTAAGAGCACAAGCTTGTTGACCAAGTGTACAAGGGTTCATCACGAAGATATCGTTCAGTACTACCAAAATTCAAAGCAATAGAGCACGGCATATCCAAGTTTCAATTTGCACAAGAAATGATATATTCAGACCAAAACGGGTATAATTGTGCCTATAAAGAAACGAATCCGCGACACACTCAGGTGTTGCTCTTCCTTCCTTCCCATGATCGCTCGACCAATTTTCACAATTCCACCCACACAACCAAGAGCAAAGTCATGATGATCATTGTCAAACCACCGATACAGAAACGCAATACCCCAGCCTTCTAAGCAACAGGTGTATGCAACGCTGTCTGGTTGAGATACAAATCACACTGATGCGGATGCTGAAGACAGTACTTTGGCATCAGCGGGCTAGCCTGTACACCAACAGCAACCAGGTATTCCCTAAAGTTGAGAATACGCTGTGTCAGCTCTGTGGTCCTCTTGTTGCCATTCTCATCCTTGTTACCACTCCAGACAAGTTCTGCGAGTGCAGCGGCACGTGGCCACAATTTCTGAGATACAACTACAGAGTCGACTTGTTCGGACCACAGAGGTGCGATGGCGCCCTGTACAAGCGCCTTCTGGCTGTCGGTCAGGTTGAAAGTGAAATCGTAGTCGTAGATGCGTTGCCATGTCTTGTATGGTGCACACCAAGAACCGCCTCCGCCGCCCCAGTTGAAGTTAGGAGAGCCGTCTGTCGCGTTAGGATTAACCATGACGTTGTACCTGGGATCGTTTCCAACCCAGCCTCCATATCCGCAGTCGAGGTACATGAAGTCGGAACTGGAAACGATGACGCGGTAACCCTGTGCGGTGAGATTGCTAATGTGATCAAGGCCGTTGTTCCAAGCTTGGAGGACAACGTCTTTGGGGACAACGCCAGTAGCAGCCACATCAGCGGAGAGCTTGACATCTTCCCACATGACGAAAGTCTTGTTGGCCTGTGCGCGGAAGTTGGGCAGGGCTCGGTCGACCCAGACTTGATAGAGGTCGCCCATTGACTTTCCACTATTGAAGAAGGCGAGGGCGGCAGATGAGAAGTTATTGCAGTTTGCAAAGAGTTCGTCGCCGCCAATGTGAAACCAGCTGTCTGGGAAGACTTGTGTCATTTCCTTGTACACCTTGGCCGTAACTTCGTAGGTCTTGTTGTTGAGGATATCAAGTTGGCCTGGGTTGGGTTCTACACCTGTATGAAGTGCCCAGTTGTCGTTAGACCACCAGCTGTGTTGGCAGGTGAGTAGGGACTCGTCGATTTGCGCCCAACCGGAGCTGGCGTGGCCGGGCATGTCAATCTCAGGGATGATTCGCACACCACGTGCGGCGGCGTAGGCGACGACCTCCTTCAACATGTCTTGGGTGAAGACCTCGTTGGCGGAATAGGCGTCTTCGGTCATCTCAGGGAAGGCGTTAATCTCCACAGGCCAAGATTGAGAATCAATAAGATGCCAGTGCAGGACGTTGAGCTTGGAAAGAGACATTCCATTGATCTGTTCAAAGATCTTGGCTTTTGTGATAAAGTTGCGGCCAGTATCTATCATGATTCCACGGATTGGGTAAAGTGGCGCATCCTTGATGGCGACGGGTTGTTCGATAACCATGTTGCCAGAGCCATCATTGATAACAATTTGCTGCAGTGTTGTCAAGGCATGGAGGGCGCCATAGACGGTTCCCGCGGTAATGTCTACGGTATCCGAACCAGCTGCGAGATCGAGTGTGTAGGATTCGTCAACACCATGTTGGAGCTGAGCATGGGCGTCGGCAACATCAACCTTGACCTTGGTGACCGTACCGGTGCAATTTCCTCCCGGTGGCGCACTATACTGCCTCCTGCTCTTTCTCGACGCACCGGTCGGGGTCGGAAAAGGCTGAAACGATGTAACCGGGGCTTCAGTGGCTGCGGGAATCCATTTCAGCTCTGCGATTGTCTTGGTAACGCGATCGAAGGCGGCAAAAAGCACTTCATGGTTGGGCGCATCGAGTTCGACGGATCCAAAAGAGAAGCAGCCAGAGTCGCCCCAGGTGATGCTCGTGGGTTTGGGAAGAGGGTTGGCGGCGACAGCATCAGCTTGTCCAACGAACAAGGCTGAGGCCGTGACCACGGAGGCCAGTATGAAATCGCGCATTGCTGTGTTTGTTGTTGTCCTGGTCGAATCCGTATCGAGAAAGCAAGCAATGGTTGCAAGGAAGGACGGGGATGCTTGCGGATATAAATACTACACAACCACGCGTAGTGAATCAGCAATGAATCAGGAATCCATCTACGGCGTCAACACAACGTGGGGAAGAGAGGAAAGACATACTCGAGTTCCACACTGACGAGTTCAGCTTTCCCACCCCAGCTAGGCTATTCACTTCGCAGGCCCACAGATCATCAAGCGCATGATGCACTACCGGGAAGCGCCCCTTTAGTGAGATATTAGGTTAAGCCAGCCACTTATTTGCTAAGCCTTGCTGCATGTCCAGCTCTCGAGAGCCTCTCTCTGCTGCAACAGCGTCCCATGCTCGCCTGTCCGTGCCGCCCACGGCTTCACACCCGTACCGCATTCCTTGTGGCTGCTGTCGTGCTGTAACCTACCCCTCCTCTTTTACTTTTCCATGCGACCCCTATACGAAGTGCGCGTTGCTAGCTGCAATACAACGCTCCTTTTCTGTATCGTGAGATATAGTCATGGTTACCCTGCGCGTTGACGACCTGCACCTAGTGGGTTGGCTCATGATCTACCCCAAGTACGGGCTAGAGTGAAGGTGGGTGATGATCCCCACCACCCGGCCGCAGATGGGTCCTGCGCTAAAACAAACGGCTGTCACCCCAGCATGCATGTCTTGTGCTACCTCACCTGCTCTTTCTGTTGTGACATATTTCTCTTGACACTCTGAGGTAGACATGCATTTGGGGCTCTTATGTGACAGCTGCGATATCGACAATGTTGAAGGATGCAATCAAGAGCTGATAAGCAGATGCTTCGGAGATTTTGGTGGATCCGCGAATGGTGGCGGCGCCGCCATGGATCCTTCCGAGCAGCGAGCGCGCGGGCTGATACGTTGTGCGGAATGGCGAGTACTCGGCTGTCCACATGTCTCATCAAACAAGAGGACTCGCGTTGTCGCTGCATGGCGGAAATCCGTCACTTGTCTAAGATTGTTGTCACGAGCCATCAGAGTGTGTCACCAATTAAACTGTGTATATTTGTAGCAATCAAATAAGCTTCAGCTTGCTTCCTGATGCGACAGCCACCACCAGCGGCAATGCTACGGTCTCCTCCAAGATGACGTTGTCATGTCTTCTGCCGTCCTTGCATAACCGTGCCGTTTTCGCCGTTTGCTCATCAGTTTCAGATCATCGTCAGCGTCAGTTAGCAGACTTTATAGTCGGGCCGCGTATTGAAGCATCCAAGCTAGGATACACAAGCGATGTTTAAGAGCTACATAAGATAGAGGCACACGGTTCTGCTGATATCCAAGGCTAGCTAGTTTCCAAGTAGAGGTCCGCCAGAAGCAGAGGGAGCAGCAGCAGTCTCATTTGAGGACGCATCAATAGATGGTTTCATCGCAGTCGCTGGGCGGAACTCTTCTTTAATCTTGTTCCAATCTGGTGCTGGCAAGCTCAGCAGCTTACAAACATCTCTCCGCCTCTTCCTGAAATCATCGTACAGGCCCTCCCATATTCGTCTCTCAGCGCATGTTCCCTCGTGGCTGCCTCCACAATCCGGCTGCATATCCCTCAATGACTCTTCTGACCACATGACCATGGGAGAAGGCAGCGGTCGATCACTGAACTGAACAATCTTTCCCTCTTTGTACACTTTCTCGGCGTCCCATGTCTCATTCGCACCGCCCAGATAGTCCGAATGGTCGTGGCGCCTGAACTCTGCAGTACGAAGGGCGTATGGTCGGTGTGGAAGCACTAATGCGCTCTCCTCGAAGCGTTCGTTAATGACCTCCATGTCAAACCTATGCATCTCGACCAGCATAGGGTCACCGCCTTCCAACATGCGCTTCTTGAACTTCTCTAACTCGTCAAGACTAGGCTCAATGACCATAAGCGTTGTCGATAGTGGCCAGGGTTTGCTATCCGTCCAATATGCGCGTGGCATCGCTACCGGAGTGTGAGGGAGGAGGAAGAGCTCATCTAGAGAGTCAAGGAGTGTGATCTCCGATTCTAGGGCGATGACGCGGTCGTAGTACTCGAGGCCGAAAGCTAGGAACTTAGTGACGCTCTCATCCCACTTCCACCCATCTACAATGCTGTTAGCCATGTGTTTGTGTTGTCTTGCCGCATGGGTAAGTGGTTGGGTAATACATACTCTCACTACGACCAGCCACTTCAAGAAGCTTCACAGGATGAAGCTTCGCGTTGTATGTATCGCGCGCTAAAGTAAGCAGTTGACTGTCCCGGTCCTGGGAGCTATCTACTTTGGTATCCCAGTGGTCAGGATAGAAGAGAACGCGATCTGCTTTGCTGTCGAATCGAGCAAGCGCTTCCAGGACCATGACTGCATGACAGAGTTCCCCGCGATCGGTCGCATACACACTGTATGCATAATTTGACCAATTGACTTTTATGTTATCGCCAGTTCCAGGTGCAGGTGTCGCGTTGCGCGATGGATACAGAATCCAGCAGACGAAGAGGAAGCCAACTAGATAGTATGCATGGCGGCGGCGCAGGCGGAATGATGGGATTTCAGCTTCGTTCGCGAATCGAGGCAGCTCGTCTGACCGTCTTCGACGCATTGTACGGACGAAGTTTGCGTGTTGTTGACATTTTGGAGCGACTGCTTTGGTTGTTCAGCTGCCAGGCGCCGACTGGTGACGCGAAGTCGCGGAATTACCGTGCAAAACTCCGAGCTTGCGACGCATTCTGCATTGACCTTACCATGCTTCTTTGATCTTCACGCTCGAGCATTAGTCAATCTATCGCAGAAACTTTGGTTGGTCGCTTGATCTGGCTTAGATATTTGATGACAGTGGTCTCAGCCTTCTGTACTGAGTAGCGTTACAGCAGAGCTAATGAGAAATGGTACGTGCAGTAACATGCTGATGTTGTCCACAGAAATCGAGTCACAGCAAATCGAAGAATTGAATGTTGATTTGACGAATACATTGTATCATTGTCGTATGCCTGGGTCACTTTTGTGGTATGGTATCAAAAATCCCAAACGCCGCAGCTGTGCAAACTCCACCGGTCCCGAGATGGCTAACTCTGGTGGGAGACATGATCCTCATTCAGCTATGTAGCACCCTCTATGGCATGTATCGTTCCATCGTGATCGTTGAACACTTCTTAGTGCTAACGCTTACTCCTCAGGAATCTCAATCTCGCCGGCCTTGATGTCGTCGGAGATGTCCTTGGGGCTGCGGCCATCGACCTTGCAGCCAGTGGAGAAGGCAGTTCCGAGGATCTCAAGAACGGTACCCTTCAGGTCCTTGGCCATGGACTTGAAGCGCATGGTGCGGGCAATGCTGATGATCTCATCGAGAGGAACAGACTTGGTGTGCTTGATGTTCTTCTCCTTCTTGCGGTCTCGGGGAGGCTCCTTAAGGGCCTTGATGACGAGGGAGGAAGCGGAGGGAACGACGGAGACGGCGGCTTGACGGTTTTGGATGGTCAACTTGACAGTGACACGGAGACCCTTCCAGTCACCGGTGGCCTTGGCGATATCTTCACCGACCTCTGCGGAACGGATTAGCATTCGTGCCCAGACGCATTTCTTTGAAGAGGTTGTCGCATACTCTTGGGGGAAAGACCGAGAGGACCGATCTTGGGGGCGAGGGCGGATGAGGCACCAACTTCACCACCGGTCGCACGGAGGTGAATGACCTTCACCTCGGAGGGATCGAACTTGGGAGCTTTGTGGATGTAAGCGTATGGCGTTATAGGAAAGCCTGGCTATTGGAGATGTCGAATTTTCGAGTGTTAGGAAACACCCGCATCTGGGTGTCCTAGCTACTCGAAAAGTCCGCGCATCCTCCTAAGAGCCGACCAGAAGGATGATACTCACGCATGGCTAGTGCTTGAGGTAGTCAATTGCTTCTGGTTGTAAAGAGTGACTGCCGTTATTTTGTCGTTCGAAAGTTCGTGAGAAACAGAAACCCGGAGTGGGGAGCAATATTGGTCGACCTGTGAGAGAAGCGAGCCTTGGCGGCACCTTCCCCGTTAGGCGATAGCACCTTCCAATGTTGCCTCCCCGATGGAGACCGACACCAATGCTCCACATTACTTGCCTCGCTACTTTGAGCCAATGTTCTTTGTAAAACAGCCAACACCCCAAACGGCGACATCTTAACCCGAGGTCACAGTCCCACTCAAAGTCACAGAACAATCACACTTCGCGTGTCCAAGATGACGTGAATGAAGTCCCGCTTGGATAATGCGGGAAAATGTCAAGATACATACGATACAACTACAGTATCTCATTATAGATCGATTTCCAACCCTTCTCAAAACTTCCATGTCCTGAACAACGTATCTGCCAGCACCTCTTGCACAAATCACAGCACCACGACAGTACAAACATTATGGCCTTCATCACCCTGACAATCAATACGCCAATTCCATGGTAGCATCTCTCCAAATGTATTGATTCCTCTCAAAATTTAACATTAACCCTCTGTCCAAACACATATTTTCGCATGCCTAAAAAGAATGCTTATTAAACCCAAAATCGACGGATTCTAAAGTAGCTAGCATAACGAACCATGGTACCTCAACCTCTTCCTAAACATACGAAAAGACGATGTGAAAAATCGACTCGCTCCAGAGGTCAACTCAAGTCTCCCATATGTGTAACAAATGTTTCGGCGGTCAACTCTTCTGAAGACAAATACGAGCAGCGTCAGGATGAACAGACAAGAAACATTTCGAAGAAGCACGACAGCAGAACAACAGCGTCTGCACACGCCCAAGATAAACGGAAGACAAATGCTGCAGACGCTTCAACCCCAGCCGGACCGACTGAGGCCAAAGTGGAGAAACTGAAATGGCCGCTACCTCCATCCTCAATACATGATGGTCTGTTGTTTAGAAAAGTAGGATGATGTGACAGGGAATTTGGTAACTGACAATGCATTTCGGCTCTATTTACTCAAATATCTTAGTTTTTCGCATTTTCGCATTGACAAATAAATGGACTATTGTAAGCTCATCATGATGCCGATTAACATGCATGCGGTACAGGAGCTGGCATGCCTACTCTATAGCGACTGGAAACGACAACTCGCTGGTAACGCCAATCAATACTGCAACTCAATGGGATACCCTCAAGAGACCAAGACTTTGTCCAACCAAGACTATGAGCCTCGTCCCCTGGAAATACCTAATCCCTGAGCTGTGGGTGCGTTTTCTTCTCGCTTGCTCACGCTGCTCCTTCGTCCTGCAATTGCCGACACACTTTCACTCCTTGAACTGTCCATGCTCTGCCTCATGCTACTGGAGCTCGACCTGCGCCTAGCACGTCGTGCTTCATCGGGATCATGGGGATTGAGCCCACTTGCTCTTGCGAATAGATTGAGGATATCTGTGAGACTGATGACTCCGCTAAGTCTACCAGAGAGGCTGGCCCCTGGCATGGTGGACATTGCGGATGCAGAGATAGCTGGTGCAACAGCTCCAGTGCTGGCAAGGTGCGTCGGGGCGGTCGAATTGACAGGTATAGGACCTGCCATTCCGGGAAGTGGTGTGATTGGCGAGGGAGGAACAACGATCGCAGGTGTTATCGCAGGAGTTGATGGTCCAGATGATGCGGGCGACGGTGCATCGACGACCCACATGCGGTGCGAGCGAGTTGCAACCAGCTTAGCCACAGTATGTGCGAGGGTGCTGAATGGATTGACGTGGAATACAGGGAAGGAATCTTTGCCATCGTTGACTCCTCGCTCTGACAGGATGACGGATATGAAGTGGATACAGGATGAGCGAAGTAGTGGTAGGGACGTGGATTTTGTCAAGAGCTAGAAATGGAGTTGTCAGCCGCTGAGTACGCAAGAGGGGCGGAAGAAACCTACGCGGACATCCACGTGTGATATGTTGCCGATAACGTTGTTCTGCGCGTCCAGGACTGGTAAAGACGATACGCCTTCGTTATTCATGAGCTCGAGAGCGGCCGCAAGAGGCTTATCTCCACTGAGTATCCAGTCAGTCACATGCCACTTTCAAATTGTGTCATACTAACTTGATGGCCAGGACTGTCTTGGATCCAAGGTTCAGGTCTTTGATCAGCTGTGAGTATAGCTGGTTGACACCTGGGAAACTTGATCGGTTCTCCCAGAAGAACTGCACCAATCTCAACTGCGTCAGAATGCCCTTGACGTTTGAAGTGCCTTGTTCTGCGACCAAGACCCTATGCACACCACTTCCAAAGACCTCTATGGCCTTGGACAAATCTGTTGTCTCATCGAGAGTAATCAAGGGCTCTTTCCTGCCGCCGACCTCCTTCACGTCCTTGAGTGGTATAGGCTTTCCTTCTCTTCCCTTCTTTGCAAGCTCATCAAACGACGCGATGTCGCCTTCTTCGGGGTGTGCGAGGCCGACAACAAGGAGGAGATAGGCGTTCAGGTCGCTGTAATCGAAAGTGCCGGTCGCATGTCGTGTGTTTGCGTCTTCACGCAGAAGGACGACATTAGGAGCTCCGTGTTTGACCAGTATCTATGCAAGTCAGTTTCAGGTGCACAGAGACAACTGAATCCGACTCACGCTTGTCGCATCCTCAACACTGGTGTCGTATTCAACAAATCTGACTAGGTCGGGATCGACTATCTCTCCAAGCCTGACTGATTTCCAATCGCGTCCCTGGAACTTTGGGTCACCGCCCTTAGTTGGTGGGTTGTTCAGGAGGTCTTGCAGAGCTTGTTGTGTGAGCGAAGGTTGCCGTGACGCGCGCGGTGATGTAGGCGTTCCTCGCATGTGTTCCGCGAAGCTCGAGCGGTGTGAAGAGGCCGGACTGGGACTGGAGCCCAGTTTGAGCGCTGTCGGAGGCGTGCGGCCTATCGAAGACACGGAGCTGTTGAGCGACGTCTCCTTTATGTCGATAGCTTCTTCGTTGCTGTGGTCGGCCATGGCGACGACGGCTATGTTTGGGGGAATGCGGGGCTCCGCAAGAAGTGTTTACGGGAATTCGTGGACGAGTATAAACGTGCACACGGTATACAACTATGTGTTCTGGGTGTTGCACTTGGAGACGTGACAAGACCTCACGCAGCAGTCAGCTATCAGTTGGGCAGGACTGTTCGCGACATGTGAAGTGGAATGAGGTGGGGAGGGCGTGCCTGCAGGTGCAAAGCCCAGAAGATGGCCTTCTACCTGCCCAGAGCACTTGGGCCGCAAGCTGCAGAATGCGGGGTGTGATTCGCCGCATGCCATGACCATCAACAATATCGGCCATGATGGCGCAAGGGCAGACACAACCTTGCGGGGTTACAAAAGCACTACCGTGAGCGTTGGCGGCGGAGGGTCGCTCCAAGCCATTCAATGGCGCGCTCAACGTCATACTGAAGCGCATGGACACGGAAGCTGGGGGAACACGCCAATCGCTTAAGGTACATGACTCCAAGCAAGGATAATAATCATACAGCATCGCATTCGTAACTAATCTCATGTCCACGCAGCTCTCAGGCTACTCAATTTCCGCCTATACTAATTTCGTGACCAATTGTCAACAGTAGACAGACAGACATGCACGAACTTAACAGTTTTGCCCAACGCCCGCCTCAAAGCATGACTCGAGTGAAACAAAAAGCATTTCCCTAAGCGTCCTTCTGCTGCTCATAGTTCATACCAGCATCCTGGTCAGCTTGACGCTGTGCCATGTGCTCGCGAATAGCGTCTCCTGAAGTTGAGTCTCCGTCGCGGCCACTGGCAGGAGGCGCATGGCTAGTCGTGTCGACGACGTTGTCATCATACGTCATGCCATTCATCATGCGTGCCTCCTTCTTCTGCTGCTCGATGCTGGACATGGTCTGTGTCGATCCTGAGCTGACAGGTACACTGACGCCTGACATGGGACTAGTCGGGGTTTGTTCTCGCAAGTAACCTGGCAGAGCGCTTGCCTTTCCGACAGCAGGGCTACCGAGTTGGCTATGCTGTCGAGCTGGTGTTCGCGCACCCTCACCAAAACCAACAAGGGAAGCAGCTTCGTCACTGAAGCCCCCCATGCTTGATGTGTCCATGTCCTGGTCCTCACTCATGCGATCGGGCTCGTAGACATCGCTGCCGCTTGCCCACGTTGTGCGACCGCCAACGGAGCCAGTCGCGCTGGCACTACCAACAGTGCTGCGCTCACGGAAGAGTTGCGGCTGGTTGTTTGCATCAAAGTAACCTGGAGGAGGGTTGGCTGCGCTCCCTGGGTTGAGTCCTTGAGGATTGCGACCCGAGACTGCAACGCGCTCCAGACCCGCTAGGCGCGAGATGCGGTCGGCACGTTCAGCTTCAGCAGGATTCCGGTGGTGGGGAAAGTGGCCACGATGTCCGTCTTTGATGGCAACAGTGGAGAGCTCAGACATGGTCGTCGTGACCGAGTTTGGGGTGCCTCTACATGTACAGCGTCAGTCTAACTATCTGATTCAGCCCCACCAAGCGCATGTGCCTTACGGAGCATCACCAGGCGTGTCTTCGCCGGACGGCGGAGGTGGCAGGTTGATCAAGGTAGGCGCATTGGTTGCCATTGCGAAGCGTGTGGTCTGAATTGGATCTTGGTGCGGTTCGTGGAGGGGTTTATAGTTCAGGAGAAGTAGTTTAATGTTTTAGGAAGTCTGATTACAAGTAGCCCGGCCCCCGTGACGAATGACGTAGCCGAAGTAGCGCTTCGAACAAAGCAAGAGCACGGAAAGTTGTTTGCGTTTTCTTGTGATAAGCCGACTTTTTCACACGATCGGGAGATGCATTTCACAGTCGTTATCTAATTGGGATCGTCTTGTCGCCTCATTCTTGGGCGCTCTTGGGTGCTCCAGCCGTTGGCTAAGGCATTCTGGATGCAGGGTCTTGCCCTAAAGCTAAGCGTGCCGGTGATTCGCTACCAGGACAGTGGTTGCTTCACTCTTGCATCCTCGACTACCTCTCAGGCGGACTATTCCAAGGGCACTCTCATCCTGACTTATGCTTCTAATTAAATAACGAGTCAGCTACTATATTTGGTGGAAGCAGAAATCCACAGCTAATCTCGCAGACTCCTGCACACTAGCAACTCACATAACTGTGCAGTTGGTTGCGGGGTTGTCCGTATACTTGTACTTGTAATGACTCTTGTGCCTCCTCTTCTTGTGTCTAGCGTCACAGTATCCACCATAATCGCTGATATAGCCATCGTCGTATCCGCCAAACCCATTATCGTGTATTATCGGTTCGTTCATAACCATTGCCGAACTACCCATCATCGGTCCACTCGTGATGACCGGAGCATGCGACATCATGTTTTGAGGCATATAAGGGCCAGTAAGACGGTGATCGTAAGTGAAGCCTTGATTCCTATGGTGTGTAGGCATCAGAGCGCTAGATGTAGTTCCTGAAGTAATTGCTGGACCTCTCCATCCACCAGACATGAATGGCGCACTTCCCCACTGACCCGGAATCGCATAGCTGCCACCAACATGATTTCGAAGCATTTGGTTAGTACCCCAAGGTCCTTGCACCATTTCGATTGTCTCTCGATCTGCAAATCCGCCGTTGCACATAGGACAGGTGTAGGGCGGTGCGATCAAAGTCTGATAGGTTTGGCGATATGGACAGCTGAGGAGATCGGAGAGAAAGCCGCAAGGTTGACTCATGGAAATCCAGGAGTGACCACATGTTGGAGAATCGTATAGGGTACAACCACACATATCCGGTAAGCAAAGATTTTGCACGAGATATAACTCTCGAATGATTAATCGCAAGACGAAATTCCAGTATTGATGGCGTTTTTCCCTTTGACAAATTCTGTACCCGTCCAAGACTAGGACTTATTGGAGGAAATCGGGATGCGCCTGAGAGGCTTCAGGTTGTGAAGCGAAATTTGTTAGATGGACAACGATCATGGAGCGATGGAAGAGGTGGACGTGAGAAGATGTTGGAGACTGATCTGGTATTGCTGATATATAGTACATCTTGGAGTACCATGTGAAGTATCCAAGCTCTTCGTGTTTACGCATTCATCGGTAGGCGTGAAGCCAGCCACGTTTGCCATTGGACGTTGTTGAATGAAAACTGAGATTCACACACGTTGCGATCACTGTTCGGTCGAAGGCTTCTTGTCGAGCAATTCTGTCACGCGCTTTTCTTCGGCATCAGCATCTTCCTGAGCTTGGTTCTTGATTTGTTGCATGAGTTCATAGAGCTGACCAATTTGTTGGTCTGTGATCCAGTCAGTGGGTGTCTTTGTACCAGTCGATAAAACTTACCGCTCATCTTGTCAATCTTAGCTTTGTCCATCTTGGCTTCCTTCCACGAGTCTCCCTCTAGCATTTGGCAGTATGTTTGCCATTCCGACAGAAACCCAATCTATAGAACTTAGAATCTGTGACATTGCAAAGCGACTGTCCAAAAATGTGCATGACTTACTATTTGCACAGGGTTCTCGACGTCCCTGTGTGCCCTGAACTCGGCCTTGACGTACATGTCCCCAAGTAATCGCTCCTCCACGCCTAGCCTTTTCCTATGCGAGCGTAACAGACGTCGATAGAGTGGTATTGGTGGCAACAAGGCAGCAGGTGCGGGCTTGAAGGGCCTCGATGCGCCCGCATCTGTCGCGGTAGCCAGTAACCGTGCACAGGCTCTCATTGTTGCAAAAGAATGGATGAAGATTCAAAAGATTGTGGCAGAGCAGCTGTGATGCATTCGAGAAGTGATGACCTCAGCCTCGGCTCTACTCTAGACTAGGGTGCTCCTTCCATTCCAATTGGCCCACACCGACACCTCCGATCTCGAAACAAAATCGCGACCATGCTGCCAACACCATCCACATCCCATGTATGTTTTGATCGCGTGTACGAACCGGCTGAAGACTCGTACCTGCTACTCGACACACTCTCTTCTGCGTCGGAAACTGCATACTTAAAGGGACGATTTGGAGATGTTTCCACAACCCCACCGTTGGTGCTCGAAGTGGGCGTAGGATCAGGCGTCGTATTGGCGTTCGTTGCTGCGAATGCGCGCACAATATTCAACCGCCACGACGTACTGACACTTGGGGTTGATATCAACAGCTTCGCCTGCAAAGCTGCCTCCCAAACGGTTCGCGATGCGATCAAGGAACAGCAGGATGGGCGCTCCATCTTCGCCGATGTCGTGAATGGCGACTTGGCGAGTGCTATCCGGCCGCATTCTGTCGATGTCTTCATATTCAATCCGCCATATGTACCGGCCGAGTTGCCTGATCTAGCGAGTCACAACAAGTACAACGCCATACCAGAAGGAAAGAAAGCGACATCGTTCGAACAAGACTCATATCTGTTGGAACTTTCGTATGCAGGAGGGGAAGATGGTATGGTAGTGACGAATAGGATGCTGGAACAGGTACCGGAGACACTCAGTATGGGTCGAGGCGTCGCATACGTGCTTTTGTGTGCACAAAACAAACCGGAAGTGGTCAAACAACGCATAAGAAATTGGGGCTCAGGTTGGATGGCGGAGACGGTAGGGTCAAGCGGGAAAAAGGCGGGCTGGGAAAAGTTGGTGATCGTGAGGATATGGCGAGACATGGCCTTTGAAGAGAAGGACGTTTGTTGAACCGAACAAGAGTAGAACCGAGGAATGCTTTGGGTGTAAACGTCGATACCAAATTTTGCGTCCATATCGACCAAAGATGGATTTTCACCAACCTTCGTGAGAAGTTCTGTGGCCTTGAGACTCGTTCTGTCGTAGGTCTCTGGTTTGTTGTGCAGCTCAGATATTGTATCATCCAACCGTTCAGTCCATCACTGTACTGATGATACTCCGGGCCTAGATCCTGAACCCGCTTCTCTTCTGTAGATAGATTCAGGCTCCGCTGCTGCAGCTAGTATTTACCCAGATTGATCAGAATGACTCGTCGAGGAATGTGAGCTTTCTAGTAGTAGTGCTCGTGATCGTATACCTAGGTGGAAGCCGGATGCTGGTTGTTGTCGTGAAGGTTCCGTCTAGCCGCGCAGACACAAGTCTTGCTATCGAACTTTTGTCCCTTCCGCTATTGAAAACTACACGGCAGATAGAGTTGGAAGAAAGTGGTGCCATGTCCTGGAACGAGAACTGTATGGCTGTAGAGAATCGGCTCAACCACTCTGTTGCAGTCTGGGAGGACGGCAAAGGTACACATATCCTAGTAACCGCAGGCCATGTAGAGAATACAGTCACTGAACATGGCTATGATCAGGAGGTCCTCCTGGGGGCATTATTGTGGACAGGTCATCAGAGTCGGATAATGCGAGAAGATAGTCAAGTGACCCATACCACGTAATTCATGTCGCGTCAAGGCGCATATAGTACATATTCTTATACACAACTGTACATGGCATCATATCTCTCAAGCCCTCATGCTTACTACACTCTACCAAAACTTGACGTTCTTCTGGTACCAATAGCTCCAGCTCTTTCTCCTCTCCTCTTCTGCCCTTCGTTCTGCCTCTAGTCGATCCTGTTCCTCCCTCGCTCTCCGTCGTGCCTCTTTCTTCGCCTCGATAGTTGCGCGCTTCTTCTCCATGAGCTCTTGTGCTTGTTTTATGCCGGCCTTTTCTTTCGATCGGTAGTACTGGCATACTTGGTAGGAGACGACGGACACACCGCACCAGGTTGCTACGGCCCAGTTGGAGGCTGTGATGACCGGCTCTGTGATAGGTTTTAGTACATTGTCCGCAGGTCTTGTTCAGAAAGCAATGGCGACATACTGCCTATTATAGCAGCTAAGCTTCCTCCTGCAAATCCTGCTGCGAGTCCTTGCAATTGACTGTCTCTTACACATGGTCGCTTGTGGAAGTTTAAGTAGTATTCTGGTCCGAGACTCCGTACTGCGTCAATGTATGTGGGACCACCGTCTGAAGTCTTTTCGCCTCCTGCTGTATGTGCTGTGCCACCGGGCATGGTGTTGGCGGGCGCGCGGGGCTTTGGTGGAAGCGCATTCACATCGACGGTATTCCGCGTGTCGTCGGCCATTGTGGTGTGATGGGTGGATTACTAGGAGGTGGGGAGGCAGGAATATGTGAGCGATGAATCTCTACGAGGCTGTCAAGAGATAGGTGGACGCTGGTGGTTGTCGTCGTTGCGAGTGCTGTATCGTGAGTCGCGGCTCGTGGACTTTCTGTCGATGCGGAATAGGCCCGAAAATATCCAGCATGTATGATCCGACGAGATCGATCAAGGTGTGGCTGAGGGCCGCCGCACAGCCACGCCAAAATCAATTTGCTGGGAAGGGGAAAGCGCCGAACACGCTCAAGCGCGTCGCGTCCAACATTTGCCGATCCACCCTTCAGACCTGCGAGTCCCTCCACTACACTCCCACCGCCAATTGTCGATACCCCGTCTTTTCGCTCTTTCCGCTCTCTTCGCTGCTCCAATGATACCCTGATCTACATATTTAGCATTTAATACCCTCTCACTTTCCACCACTACCGCACATCATGGCGCCACGACGCGCAGGCCAACCCTTCCGCCGGGTAGGCAAGCTGGGCAACACATCCTATGGCCCACGGAAACCGAAGACGGTCGATGCCTCGTCACTACGCAGTGGTGAGGGTACCTCACAGAACGAGAAACTCGAATCCACTCGCTTGGCAAATCGCATCGATGAAACCATGGGCTTCGCGCGCTTCGATTCTGGCAAGAAGAAAGTCGGATGGCTCGTCAACATGCACTCGACAACGGTAGAAGACGAAGAAGTACCAGGTGGCAAAGCCGGTGTGGACTTTTACTTCATCGGCGAAGAAGGCGACACATTCAAAGCGACACTCGAATACGACCCCTACTTTCTATTGGCGATCAAGAAGGGCAGAGAACAAGATGTGGAAGAGTACTGCAAAAAGGCATACGAGGGGTTGATCAAATCCATAAAGATCGTGGAAAAGGAGGACCTGAGTATGCCAAATCACCTGACAGGGTACCGAAGAAAGTTCTTGCAACTTACCTTCGCAAATGTCAACGACTTGTTGGCTGTACGAAAGGCTGTCAATCCAATCGTAGAGAAGAACAAGAAGAACGTCAACGCGATGGACACATATGCAGAGGTTGCAAAGTGAGTTTGGCTGGTTTCTTACGCGTGGACTTCGGCTAACATTTGCATAGTGGCAACGGCGACTTTGACTTCTTTGATAACGACGAGCACGAATACGAGAAACGATTTATGACTACTGTTGACGCCAGCGATTTTATTTTAGATATCCGAGAATACGACGTTCCTTACCACGTGCGAGTGGCTATTGACAAAGACGTCCGAATTGGAAACTGGTATACTGTCGAGGCCAAGCATGGCGTAATAAGCATCAAGTGCATAGAGGACCGCCTCACACCAGCAGATCCCGTCGTCATGGCGTACGATATCGAAACGACAAAACTTCCATTGAAGTTTCCAGACGCTGCCATCGACCAGATCATGATGATATCGTACATGATCGACGGTCAAGGATTTCTCATCACAAACCGCGAGATCGTATCGGAAGACATTGCAGACTTCGAGTACACACCGAAGCCGGAGTACCAAGGACCGTTTATGATTTTCAACGAGCCGGACGAGAAGGCGGTGTTGGAAAGGTTCTTCGAACATATCAAGATAGCTAGACCAACAGTCATGGTCACATATAACGGAGACTTCTTCGATTGGCCGTTTGTCGAAGCAAGATCTAGTGTACAGGGTATCGACATGTATCAAGAAATCGGATTCAGGAAGAACAGCGAGGATATCTATCAGTCGGACTATTGTGCCCACATGGATGCCTTTGCCTGGGTTAGTCGAGACAGTTACCTACCTCAAGGTAGTCGTGGTCTAAAAGCCGTGACAATGGCTAAGCTCGGATACGACCCAGACGAGCTCGACCCGGAACTCATGACGCCCTACGCAGCCGAGCGACCGCAAACGCTTGCAGAGTACTCCGTCTCCGACGCTGTTGCTACTTACTACTTGTACATGAAGTACGTACATCCGTTCATTTTCGCTCTGTGCAAGATTCTTCCACTCGGACCGGACGATGCATTGCGCAAGGGTACAGGTACCCTCTGTGAGATGCTCTTGATGGTGCAGGCATACCAGAAGGGCATCGTGCTACCGAATAAGCACAATCCACCAAAGGAAGCTTTCTGGGAGGGCCATCTTCTCGAGTCAGAGACCTATGTTGGAGGTCACGTCGAAGCACTGGAAGCTGGCGTGTTCCGAAGCGACATCGCCTATAATTTCGCTGTCGACCCTACGGCCATTGACGAATTGCTCAACGACCTTGACGCCGCACTGAAGTTCAGCATCGAGGTTGAAGAAAAGAAGAAGATGGAGGACGTAACGAATTACGAAGAGATCAAAGCTGAGATCGTCGAGAAGCTCATGCAGCTCAAGAACACGCCAAACCGTAGCGAACGGCCTCTCATCTATCATTTGGACGTCGCGTCTATGTATCCTAACATCATGACAACTAACCGTCTGCAACCTGATTCTATGATTAACGAGTCGAATTGCGCGGCTTGCGACTTCAACCGACCAGGAAAGACGTGCGATCGCCGAATGCCATGGGCCTGGAGAGGTGAATACCTACCAGCCAAGCGCGACGAGTACAACATGGTTCGTAACGCTTTAGAGAACGAGCAATTTCCTGGAAGGTTTCCCAACTCGCCAAAGCGAACGTTCCAAGATCTTTCGGAGGAAGAACAGGCTGCGCTTGTTAGGAAACGTCTAACAGACTACTCCAAGAAGATCTACCATAAAGTCCATGACGCCACGACGATCGAGCGCGAGGCTATCATCTGCCAACGAGAGAATCCTTTTTATGTTGATACCGTCAGCGGTTTTCGTGATCGACGTTACGACTTCAAGGGCAAGCAAAAGGTCTGGAAGGGGAAGACGGAAGCACTCAAAGCCGCCGGTGCTCCTGCTACTGAGATTGAGGATGCAAAGAAGATGATCGTCCTTTTCGACTCTATGCAGCTGGCACACAAAGTCATTCTTAATTCTTTCTACGGTTATGTCATGCGAAAGGGATCTCGTTGGTACTCTCTTGAGATGGCTGGTGTCACTTGCTTGACTGGTGCTCGCATCATTCAGTTGGCCCGCTCGCTTGTGGAGCGCATTGGACGACCCTTGGAACTGGACACTGACGGTATTTGGGCTATTCTACCAGCAACATTTCCCGAGAACTTTGCCTTCAAACTCAGCAATGGTAAGAAGCTGACCATCTCATACCCTTGTACAATGTTGAACCACTTGGTTCACGCACAGTATACCAATCATCAGTATGAGACGTTAGTAGACCCCGAGACGTTCCGATACGAGAAGCACAGCGATAACTCCATCTTTTTTGAAGTCGATGGACCGTACAAGGCCATGATCTTGCCAACTTCCAAAGAGGAGGATAAGAACTTGAAAAAGCGTTATGCAGTTTTCAATCACGATGGCAGCCTGGCGGAATTAAAGGGTTTCGAGGTGAAGCGCCGTGGTGAACTGAAGCTCATCAAGAATTTTCAGGCCCAGATTTTCAAGTTCTTCTTGGAAGGCACGACGCTTGAGGAGACGTATGGAGCCGTCGCAAAGGTCGCCAACCGATGGCTTGATATCCTGGATACTCGTGGAGCAACACTCGCAGACGAGGAGCTTATCGACCTGATTGTTGAGAACAAGAGTATGACAAAGACATTGGACGAGTACGGAGCGCAGAAGTCAACCGCTATCACGACTGCTAAGCGTCTCGCTGAGTTCTTGGGAGAACAGATGGTGAAGGACAAAGGTCTGAACTGCAAGTACATCATCTCAAAGACACCTAGGAATGCTCCCGTCACTGAGCGCGCTGTTCCTCTAGCAATCTTTTCGGCCGAAGAGTCTGTTAAGAGGTACTTCCTGAGGAAATGGTTACGAGACGATCCTGGAGAGATGGACATTCGAACGATTCTTGATTGGGATTACTACCGCGAACGTTTGGCGTCCGTCATTCAGAAGCTGATTACTATCCCTGCGGCGTACCAAAAAGTTCGAAACCCCGTGCCCAGGGTGCCGCATCCCGACTGGCTTGACCGCAGAATTCGTCAGAAGGAGGACAAGTTTCAACAGACAAAGATGACGGACATGTTCAGTAAGAAGGTGTTGACTAATGGCGACGCCAACGTCGCGAACAACAAGCTGTCTGGAGACTTTGAGGATTATGGCTCGGCAAAGCTGACCCAGAACCAGTCCCAGATGAAGAAGGGAATAGTCACCAAGATGGTGGCGAAGCGCAAGGAGCCTGAGCCTGCAGTGCCTATCGTCGACCCATATGCCGCGTTGCCCAAAGTTATGCCGAGCATCGATCACGACTATTCCGGATGGCTGATGTATCAGAAACAGAAGTGGAAGATTCAACGAGAAGCACGGAAGCGCCGACGACAGCTGTTCGGAGAGAAGGCTGTTGACGCTTCTGATGCAATTGGCAGCTTCTTCAGAAACCAGGCCCAGTCTTTGTACATCAGCACATGGCAGCTTGTTCAATTACGGCCAACTGAAACACCAGGCGAGGTTAGGGCTTTTGTTCTGATCGACAAGAAGATCCATGCTCTCAAGATCATCGTACCTCGGACCCTGTATCTGAACCTGAGGAGCGAAGATCTTCCTGATGTCTCAATCAGTGGCTGCTCCGTGGAAAAGGTTGTCAATCACAGTCTGCCCAACGGCCACCCGTCGATCCATTTGTTCAAGCTTCAAATGTCGGAAGAGACATACGTCCAGGAAGCGAAAAGCATCTCTGCACTGTTCAACCACGCCAGTGTCGAGGGCGTATATGAGAAGCAAGTACCACTCAACATCCGCGCCATCCTCGAGCTAGGAAGTACCTGTACATTCGATGAGTCGCAGAAGGGTGTTCTCGGAAAAGGTCTGGAACAAGGTTTTGATTTATCGTCGCTGCGACAAGTAAAGACCAAAGAGTCATACCTGGCTGAAGCGCCTTTCAACTATCTATATCTGTACCATGTCAGGAGTGGCGACCGCAACGTCTATGCCATCTTCTCGACATCGAAGAACGAAGCGCACATCGTCATCCAAAACAAAACCAAAGATTCTCAGATGCCTAACGTAGACCGCATCTACAGAGATGCCCTGCAACGACGAATGGAAGATAGCAATGGTGAGCCATGGCAGACCATGATCGAGTACCAGGAAGACGTACATTTCAAGACGACGATGGTGACCACAAAACGAAAAGCTCTTCTTGAGATTGGGGATGCTATCAAAAAGATGAAGGCAGACGAGAGCGGGCCTATCATCGTGGTCATACAGTCACCAAATCATGCTCTTCTTTCGCACGACATTCCTGTTCTCAAGGAGTTGCCAATCTTGCCACTTCACGCTGATGAGTCTGATAAGCAACTACCACCACTCGGCTGGCAAGCTTTCATTGCCAGGCGACTAGTGGGACATTACCTCGACCTCGGATCCTGGATTGCCCATTTGTTGGAGCTTGCCCGCTATGGAAACATACCGCTTTGTAACCTTGAGAGCAATGATCCACGCTTCCTGATCGACATTGCGTACGCGCGACGTTTGCAGAAGGAACGAGTCATTCTTTGGTGGTCCAGTCAGGCGAAGCCTGATCATGCAGGCTATGAGAAGGACGATATCCTCGCACCTTTGGAGACAGTAGACATGCCGTCGATCAACAACCCAGGCACGTACTCGTCAGTGTGCATTGACATCAATCTTCGCAATCTCGCTATCAACACTATCCTGTCATCTTCCTTGATCAACGAACTTGAAGGTTCAGACTCTGTTTCCTTCAACCCTGCGGCCCCGTCTTACGACTCGACGAATGATGGATCCAACATCATCTACTCAGATAACGCTTTTGCCAGTGCCGGTATCACGGTACTCCGTGAAATGGTGAAAGCATGGTGGGTCGAGGCTGTGAACGCTGGCCACGGCTTTAGCATGGCCGATGTCATGGTTCAGCATCTCGTCCGATGGGTCAGTAGTCCGGGATCTTTCCTCTACGACCGCTCTCTGCACTACTACGTACAAATGATGTCGAAGAAGACACTACAGCAACTCATGACGGATTTCAAGCGTGTCGGCTCGCACATTGTATTCGCTAGTCCAAACCGCCTGCTCCTCCAGACGACCAAAGCCGAAGTAGGGAATGCGTACGCATACAGCCAGTACATCATCAAGACCATCAAATCGAAACCTCTGTTCCAGTTCATGGAGCTTGAGATCAAGGAATACTGGGACTACCTGGTTTGGTATGACGAATTCAACTATGGCGGTAAAGGTTGCAGCGAGGTGAGTGAGGATGAGACGCAGCCGGTCGAAAACATCATGTGTTGGCAGCTCGCACAATTCTTGCCACCGAAGTTTCAGCCTACCTTCAACGACTGGGTCGTCGAGTTCATCGAGCTTATGCACGCACGAAAACGCCCTGGTATCACGGAAGATGGCTCGACGCCTAGAGTCACGCAGATCCCGCTTCGGCCACTTACTGTGGATCCGAACGAACAAACGCAGATTCTCCCCAAGCAATTTACCAGGCCTCTCTCTAAACAGATGAACGCCTTCGCTAAGAAACAACACGCAGAGGTTTTGGATCCTCTTTTCGCGTCCGATTATATCTTCCCTGAACTTCCTGGCTCGCATCTCAAGCTTACGAATCCGGTCTTGCAACTTGTGAAGAGCATCATGCAAGTTTTGAGTCTAGACCGTGCCATTTCTCTGGAAGCGCGAGCACTGCGAAAGGAGTTGCTGAATCTCTTCGATATTCGCGAGTTCAGCGCAGAGGCAACATTCGTCAACCCCAGCGCTGCCCTTGTCGTCAGAGGCGTCATTTGTGAAGACTGTACATCTTCACGCGATCTGGATCTCTGCCGCGACTCTTCTCTTCTCCCAGTCATTCTACCCGACAGCGATGCCGCCCCGGTCCTTCCCAAATGGAAATGCGACAACTGCGACTCAACCTATGACAAGCGGCGCATCGAAGAACAACTCGTCGGCGAAGTCCAAAAGATGGTACTCGAGTGGTGTACGCAGGATCTCAAATGCGGCAAGTGCAAGCGGCTACGCAGTAATGAGTTTATGGAACATTGTGCTTGCGCAGGCGAATGGGTAGCTACGAAAAACAAGCAGGATATGAAGAGGAAGATCGGTGTGTATGGCAATGTCGCAAGATTCTACACATTAGGTATGCTGGAAGCTGTTGTTGAAGAGTGTTTGGAGAGTTTTTGAGTGCAAAGAGCACGTACACTTGCTGTATGACAGCGATCGATTTGTACGGCGTTCTAGTGTTGCATATCAGTGCGGAATTGGGTCGCGCGGCGTCTGCGGTCTTTCTCCGGATGGGCGTGGGTTTTGATATTGAGTTTCTGGGCTTTCTATGCCACGTAGCATTTAGCGGCGTCTGCAGCGACCAAGTGGGGTGAAGGTCATTCATTTGTCCACCTCGCGTCTTGTTTATCCCGACGTACATGTACCGACCAAATACATGTAGCAATCTTATCAGTTCCCAAAAGTCCTACCCGTGCCCGTCAAGATTAACAGTGATGTTAGCGATCTGGACACAAGAGCCAAGAACTTGGTTACGTCGTGGACAAGGTAGGCAAGAGCGGGGCTTGCGTCAACTTGGTCCTGGGTGCCGTGCGAGCACGCCATTTCGGGCTAAATATCGCAAACAACAACATGGATTGAGATATGATGCGATAGCAACAGAATAAGGTGATGAGGGGCAGAGGGGTAGAAGAGGTCTCGGAGGACAAGGATTCGGTAGATATGCGTATATATAGATAAATCGTCATTGCTTTTGCATTCTCTCAACGACTTTCGTATGATTGTGTCTACAACGCTTCAGCTGAAGAACTAAGGAGATACGCATAATCAGCTTCATTCTAATCGTATTGTAACCTTCCAAAGCAAGCTTCTCCCACTCAATTGACCCATTTTACTTCCTCAGAATGGCGCCGGCACTTACATCTCCCGCACCCGCTGCGCCGCACACGCTCTCTACCACAACCACAAAGGCACCCAAAGCCATCTTTCCAGACGGCATCAAGACCTCAGGTCAACATGAGCCAGTCTACTCTTTACTACACCCTTACTCCAAGTTTCCTAAAGAAATCACTGGTTCAACAACATGGGACAAAACAGACTACGAGTCCAACCCCGAACGCTGGACGCACATCTTCTCGTCCGACGAAGTACGCGAGATGAGCGAAGCAGCAGATAACTTCATCGCCTCCGGAACACCTTTGACAGGCATCACAAAAGACCTGTTCCCACTACCCAACTTTTCCAAGTTCTTAGAGCCGCTAAGGAAGGAGTTGATCGACGGGAAGGGGTTCATCCTCTTCAAAGGTATGCCTGTTGAGCAATGGGGGAATCAAAAATCCGCGGTCGCATATATGGGTCTAGGCACATATTTGGGCTACTTTGTCAGCCAGAATAGTCGGGGCCATGTGCTTGGGCATGTCAAGGATTTGGGTGAGGACGCGACTGCAATTGATAAAGTGAGGATTTACCGGACGAACGCGAGGCAATATTTCCATGCCGATGATTCGGATCTCGTGGGCTTGTTGTGTGTGGCCAAGGCGTTGGAAGGAGGGGAGTCTGATCTTGTAAGTTGAAATTACACGTCACTGGTCTGGTACGCATTTTGCTAACTACAATCTCTTGCACAGGTTAGCAGCCACTCAGTATGGAACGAGCTTCAAAAGAACCACCCAGATGTCGCCGAACTACTCACCCAGCCCATCTGGTACTTCGACCGCAAGGGCGAGACAAGTGTAGGACAGAAGGAATGGATCAAAACCGCCGTGTACTATCTCGAGACGGGCGACAACCCAAGAGTCTACAGCAAGTAAGCAAAGCAACCAGACAATTCCCAACTCTTCAGAGCCGCAAGCTGACACAAGCAAAAACAGATTCGATCCCTACTTTGTCCGTTCTCTGACCCGTTTCTCGGACGCGGGTCAAATCCCGCCTCTTTCCGAAGCACAAGAACGCGCCATTACTATCCTTGAAGAGACATGCCAGAAGCTTGCGTTGCACATGATTCTTGATGTAGGCGATATCCAGTTCCTTTCCAACAACCATGTGTTCCATGCCAGGACAGCGTACAAGGACTATGCGCCGCCAGCACCGAGGAGACATTTGATGAGATTATGGCTGAGCACACCCGAGGGCGAGGGCGGATGGAAGTTGCCCTTCCACGACAGTAGGGAAAAGAAGAGGGGTGGAATTCAGGTCAACGACACGCCGCCGGTTGCGCCTTACGATGCGGAGTAGTCGCTTGTTGAAGACGGTTTGCACGTATCTAGCTTTGTAAGTAGCCAGTGAATGTGTACATAAAGAACAAATCAGAAAGTATGCAAAACCCGCGGGATGATTGCGTTTCAATGTGGTATCATTCTTCTCTCGAGGCGCAGCTTTTGCACCAATCCTTGTGTCTGACGCCGCGCATCCTGGTTATCTCTGCTCGTGTAGCTGATCGGATAGTGATCCTATTGCGCGTCAAAATTTGGTGTCTTTGGTGCGCGGCAACCCATAATCTCAATTTCCCCGAATCCATGGCACAACTCCAAGTCATTTTGTGATGTTGTAATGCGCATCTGCAGGTGGTTTTCTTGGCCTTCAATCTCTGTCGTCTTTCTCCGCACCTAGAAACCTCGTCCACGTCCCCTGCCACCACCGCCTCTTCCGCGACCACCTCCACCACGACCGCGACCGCCTCCGCGGCCACCACCCCTTCCACCACGGTCGCCACCACCGACCTCCTTCCTTGCCTTATTCTTAGGCTTTGGCGCATCGTCGATGAGAAGTGTGTCGAGCGGTAATGAGTCGGGAAGGATGATGTAGCGAATTGTGGAACCGCGGACGGTCATTGTGTCGAGAGCTACGGTGTCGCGAGACTTGGGCGTGTACTTGACTGCTCGGAGCGCGACGTTCATGAGCGGTGAGACGGAGGTGATGGTGCCGTTTACAATAGTGCCTGTCGTTCTGTTAAAAACACACGTCTGTAAAGTGATAGCACACCGAATCGAGGCGAAAGCGTGCTTGCGCAACTCAAGGATTGACGCGCTCGCCGGAGAAGCGACTTCGGCCAGACGACGACGACGCGATCGAAGCCAAGGAGCGACAAGAAAGAGACACGCTGCTTACCATTCTTAAGCTCGACTGTGACCGTCTCATTCTGACACTTCATAAGAAACCTGCGTGAAGCGTTAGCTGCTAGTCTAACAAAAGTTGACGACTAGCTCACCTGACGAGCTTCATGGTCGCTGTTATCCGAACTATGGAGTATTGGAGTTTGAAATGTGTGCCTCGGTATCTTGCGATTGGTAATTATAGTCGGTATCGTTGCTGCGGCGCGATGTATACTCGCGGGGAAGCTCCGACTAGGAAATTGCGATCGAGCTTCAGGCTGCACGGGCTAAGGTTAATCCGCGACCGAAGTCACGTGAGCGGAAATTCACTTGGGTGTTGTTCAAGGTCAATTCGATAATATAGTGCTTAGCTGTGGCTGAAAAGAGTGATGTAGTATATTGTTGCCCATTGTCCATAGTTTCCCGGTTCCATGCAAATCGCGTACATTGGGTATCGTATACAAATCGACCATACAATCGGAGCTTAGAATCACATTACGAATCCCTCCCTCTAGTGAAAGGAATCTGTGCTCCAAGCTTCCTGCCTTGCTACTTGTTATCTCCGTGTTCGATGCGCTTACTCTTGCCGGGCAATCGTGTGATTCTCAAACTCCGGTCTCCTTCTATCTTCCGGATTCTCCGTGTCCAACCTGCCTTGCGACGAGTTGCGCCATCCTGTGCCACAGGCGGCTGTCCTGGTTCAACCTCGTCAAACCAAGCTTCTTCCTGAGAAGTTTCTAGAGTCATCGCCATAGCTTGTTGCATCTCATCAGCTGAGGATTGAGAGTCGGAGGCTGCGGATGTGTATTGCATCGGTTTGTGTGTGACGTCAAAGCTGTACGTCTCCTTCAGATACTTGGCAATAGCCTGATTCTCTTCCTCAGTGCCACTACCGTAGTAATTCTTTAGCTCCTTTGCTACGAGAGTGTCCAGAATAACGCCTTTAAGAAGCGATTGTTCAGTCACCTGCTTAGATGAATTGTTGCTTGGTAGCGTAACCATAGCGTCCCAGTGCAGACCCATAGCAGCAAGCCTATCCTTTGCTGACCAAGCTATAGCCCTCAGTGGAGTGCTCTGGACGAAATGCTTGACTCGCTCTTCCAGATCGTCCCAGCTCACGTTCCAAATAAACCAAGGTCGCAGTGTTTCCTCAAGCGCGAAAAGAAAGTCTCGATATGTTCTTGTCGAAAGGTATAAATGCTTGATCTTGCCCACCAGAAACTCGATATCCATACCCGTAATAGTAGGGTCCACGCGGACTCGGCGCAACAACTCACGCGGGTCGCGTTCGATGTTTTGTCGAAAGTGTATTTGAGACTTGATGTTTAGGTAGTTGATAAGGCGGCACAAGACCACACGAAGTTCTTCTTCTGTCACTTCTCCAGTGATGTCTATGGCTGAAGCATCGAAAAGCGTAGGGTGGCTCTGGGTAAGTAACCGTGCCCGTGCTTTCTTGAAATGCATGGCCGCCCCCTTTCGTTCGCCAATAACTTCCATAGCCACTTCAAATGGTTCCCTCCGTGCGTCCTCGTACTTCATTGATCGAAGGTGCTCTCGCAGACGGTGTTCAATCTGTTCAGCTTTTATAATGTCTTCTGTTTCACCAATCACTCGTTCTCGATCCTGTTTGAAGCGCGGTGCAAGATTTGCTGCTCGTAAAGGCTTCATGATGTCGCTTGGTAGGAAGTCTTTGCTGTTGGGATTGACGCCCAAGTTGAACAAGAACGATCGATAAGGTTGAGATAGGTATCGCTCATCCAGTGCTACCAGTTTCTTTGCCCGATCAACGATTCGATCCCTCATTGACGGCGTTAGCACCCCGTAGAATTCACTCAAGACCTGCTTATCCTCAGCTCCAGGCCTCAGTAGACTTCCGAGACCCATTTCTTGCCGGCACTCTGCGATTAGAAGCTCTAGATCAATCCCGAAATCTGCAGCAGGGTATGGTAAGTTAATGTTGATGGTCCTGGAGGTCTCTCTAGATGGATCCTTGTAGTAAGCGGGAGTGCTTCTGATGATGGCCTTGATTTGTTCCATGTAATGACGTCTTTCTTTCTCTCCTGGGAACAATGGATATTCCCACACTGACGCAATATCTGCGCTAGCTGCGGAAGGTTGAGCGTTTTCAGCGACGTAGACACTCTTGCCTTCTGGGCTCCGGTATTCCCCGTTAATGTACATGATTGCGGGACCCTTCGCAGTCTTCTGCTCTAGGCCATTAACCTTTGCGACCAGGATAACATGGTCTGCGACGGGAAACTCGTGTGTAACTTCACACTCCATTGCAGCCCGTACATACCCTGCCAGGACCTGCGGTGCGAGGGACGACGGAATACTATGTTGTATTTTCTTTATGGGTTGATGGAGTTTGAGCTGCTTGGATCGCAGATCGTAGGCATCTGGATGGTTCCCTCGGGAGAACAGATCCACAAGCTTCGCGCCGCTTCTATTTGCAGCGGGGAAATGAACGCGGAAGAGGCCGTCAGTCGCCCGTATGGCATCCAAGGTTTTGGAGGGCTGTTTGATATTGAAGGAGATAGTAGGCGGGTCCAGGCTGACAGTGCTGAGTGAAGAAACAGCAACACCCATAGGGACGTGTTTCTTGGTCTTTGGATCGATACTCGCAACGGTAAGAACTGCGACGGAGCTCGGAACATCACGCATCAAACCACGCACCGAATTCTTAAGTTGCTCTTGCTCCAACTCCGACTCGGAGAAGTCAATCGGGGCATCCTGTTCTTGTGCAGTTTTCTGCGTGCCTGCTGTGCTGTCTTGTTGCAACAGACGAGTCGCATTATAGTATCGTGGGGCACAGATGGCGTTGCGGGAACGTGTGTCGTGGGGAGTGTATCGATAGGCAGAGGCGCATGGCCTTGAACGTTCTAAGAAGACAATTAGCATGCACGTAGTAATGCCATGTGGAAAACTAACGGGCATGTTGATTCCATCTGTAGAAGGCGGCGAAAAAGCGCGAAGCCGGGCGCTGTGACAGCGCCATGTTCACAGCAAGAAGTTACACATTTGTTACATAGGCCAGAGACGAATAGGACAGTGCCGTTGGACAAGACACGACTGTGGGAGAGCAATGTGCTGGGAATGACGGAGCGGGCGCATTGTGGTGGAAATGTTAGATCGGCCAAGGCTAACCTCCGTCTCTTCTCCGCAACTTTCCTGCCGAACTTCAACGCCCGCCCAGCACACACAACCATGGCGTCTCCAGTCCCTTCGATGAGCGCACTGCGCGTCCTCCGACAGTCAATACAGCCTCAGGTACAGCAAACGACCCAAGTACGACATGCGACGCTTCTCCGCCGGCCAAAGCGACCCTACACCTTCACCCAACTTATAACCCTCTCCGACGGCAGCTCATTTACCCTACGAACCACGAATCCACAGCCAGTATACAAGAGCGCAAAGGATATACGGAACTCGCCACTATGGAATCCGAGTTCACAGAAACTACTGAACGTCGAGGAGGACGAGGCTGGAAGATTGGCCTCTTTCAGAACAAAGTTTGGCCGAGCATGGGATGCTGAAACTGATGCTGAAAAGGTGGGTGGACGAGGAAGAGCGCAACAAGTTATATCGCGACCAGTTTTTTGCTGACTCTTTTACAGGGCAAGCAGACGGAGGACCATTTTCTAGATCTCATCAGCAGCCAAGGCAAGCCGCCAGGAAAACCGACCGATGCCACCAAGTCACCACCCGCCAAAGCGCCTGCATCTACGCCTGAGAAGCCAGCTGCAAAGAAATAAGGATTCAGGTTAGAACATCATGGGGATTGCATTCTTGAGCGACATTGTACAACATGCTACAATTGTGTAGAAAATATTATGGAGGGTCCAAGATCAAACGCATGCCATTGCCGTCACGCTGTCATTTTTGCTCCGATGGTATCAGTTAAGACATGGGGAAAGCTCGTTGTATCCTGGCCAGCTATATCGCACTTCCGAGGTATACTCTGTGTTTGTTGCTAATATAGCAGAAGACACAAGATATTGATACCTTAAGGTATATTTTGAGTGCTGGGTACAACTCGCTAAGAACGAGGTCCTTCTCATTCTGAGTTGTCGTGTTACACAATGGAAAGACTCACGACAAGTCCGTGCCGCTCCACATTCTTCACAAGACTCAGACGTTCAGGTTTTCACGCTTCCTATCAGCAGTCTGTTGAATATACCACCTACTTTCTCTACTACATCAAAGAAACTTCAATTTCGTATCCATCTTCCAGTGCCCAAGTTTTGGGACTCCCCATGCCATCATGGCAAAGCCCAGCAGCAGCAAGACAGTCTCCTTTGCAACTCATGACTACAGTCAAGCCAACGCTGGAAAATCATCATCAAGAGACAAGACAGGCCCTGGATCGAGCGGTACGCAGTCCATTAAGGGCTATGTGTACATAGATCATCCTCTTGTCCTGCCCAATGAGATATTCGGCGATCCTACCAACCTTCAGAACACAATCGACGGCAAGAGAACAAGAAAAGCCTCGAACTTAAATGACTCACCATCGGAGAAAGCTACGCGTACCGTCGAAACAAAAGATAAGGACAAGGCCAGAATGCCACCTAAGAAACCTTCCACGAAGCTTGCATTCCCCGCGAAGACACCTGCATCATCTCGCGCAGGAAAAGGTTACGCTCCTAAAGATACTTCAGAATACCTGACATCTAAGAAACGTGGCGATCGCAAATCTCGTTCGCACAATGAGGAGTACGATACCGATAGTTTCGAAGAAGATATTTCGCCTGGAGACATACGCCGCGGCGTTCTAGCTCTCGTTCAACACTCTCTACAGATTGCTGACGACGTTTCCGCATATATGCGATGTGTCGAAGACCACGAAACACATGGGCAAAAGCTAGTCCGCGATATGGAAAGGTTGTTGGACCATAGGGTGGAGAAGAGGAAGGCAGTTGCTCAATAAGGGGGAAAGGGGAAAGTTGCGAGAACGATAATGTGAGTCTTGTGTGTCATTGATGGTTCAGAGATTCTCTCCTTCGTAGCATGATGGTGACATTGCACTGTTTGATTCATTTGTCAATCATGGCGTTCAAGAGATCTCTGTTCTTTTTCTTTGGGTCAAACAATTATAGAATCTGGCTTTTTCATGGAACGGGTCACATTTAGATTCCCATTGCGACGCATAAACTGTAAAAACGGCGTGAATGTGATGTCTTCTGACTATGGTATACGCCTATCTAGTTTTGGTATCCTGACCCGAAAATGCTAAATGAGAGGTATAAAACGCATTCAACAAACTTGAAAATACCATGTTGTACAAACATTACTCGTCAAGATCAAACAACTCCCTCCCCAACAACCCTCCGTTCATGCCCAACCCACTCCTCCCCATCACTCCTCACACTCTCCGTCCGCTCTCTCCGGTCGTCTTCAATCTCCACTTCTCTTGTGTGAATAGTCTCAACTCTGATGTTGTTCAGCTCAACCTCATCGCCAAACTCTTCTCGCGTAGGCGTACGGTACAGACCGCGGCTCGGGGCACGAAGCCTGCTTTGCGTAGGAGACGAAGATTTGCATTCCGTTGTGACACCAGAAGGCATGAGCCGCGGTGAGGTCTGAGGGCGATGATGTGGGTTGCTGGACATGACGGTAGGGAAGACGTTGAGACTAGGCCTACGGGAGCTGCTACCACTATTGTTGCGGGAAGCGTTGGTGCTGTTGATGCTGTTGGAATTTTGGGAATTTTCAGATATTCCTTTGATAGTTATGATCTCGGTCTTCTTTTCGTTTGTTCCTTCTCCGTAGATCATCTTGCTATTCCGTCTTTGGTCAGATCTTGTGCCGCTTCTTGAGCCGATCGTGCCGTTACCGTAACCGCTGTGCGGGTCTGTAGTCACTATCTGCTTGTCTTTCGATGTGACCCAGTGTAGGACTATTACGCAGAACAAGATATCGGCGTTGCAGCACATAAGGCAGATCCAACCTGGTTCACCCTTTAGTACCATGAGTATGGTCAGGTTGATGACGGAGGTGGTGAGAGTAGCAAGGGAGCCGATGAGCGAGCGCTTGGCCATGCGGTGGAGCGTAGGGTTTGCGTTGTGCTTGTAAGAGTAGAGGTTTCGGACGGGAATGATGAAGAGGGCGGTCAGGTAGACCTGAATTTAGATCAGTTTCTGGTGTCGATATAAGCCAGCTGAAGAGAAAGGAATACTTACGTTGACAATGACCTCGAAAGTGATCAACGGAAGCATAGCGATCTTTTGCATACCGATTATGCACACGCCGGAGTCGTTGATGTAGGTGATTCGGAAGATGAAGTTCATAATGACAAAGACAGTGTATGGTAACAGCATGAAAAGGCAGTTGAAGAGCCACAGCTTCGTCTTCATGCGAGGCTTCATACTCCCTCGAACCACATATGCTTTCTCGACGAGAAAATAATAGATGAGAATCTTGGTAGTCATGTAACATATCAGACCTGTGCAGTGGTGAGCCTTGATTCTAAGCATTCCCATGTATCCACTGTAGTGCACTTACATAATAAGATCCCCCCTTCGCACACTTGCGGCGAGGAGTTGATACCAAAGCCATGAACCACAATCGCAGTTGCAAATACGAATAACGCCGAGTCGCAGTAGATGATGAGGATTACTGTTTTAGGCCGTCAGCATCATATACTTTCCCAGGATGCTCGTAAGCATGTATCGTGTTGCACTTACACCACATCGCCAAAGGCAGTGCAGCCCATTTCTGAATAAACTGTGTTCGTCGCACTGTTACACGCTGTTAGAATATCTGTTTCTTCTCGGCAACATCGACAAGATACGACTTACTTATGCAAACGGAGAGTACACCAAATGTGCTGATCTGTAACATGATGCTAATAATATCTCCAGCCCGCGGTACCAGCGCAGGTACATAGTCTTGTGCTACCATGATCCCGATATTGTGTTGTATCTTCACCTCACAGTCGATCAAGGTATTGCAAGTTCCAGTAATTCGATATGGCGCAAACAGGCAGGCAAGTAAGAAATCGTATGATAACGACGAAACAGGAATGAAAGCACACGAGCCAGTTCACGAGCCTCAGCCCAGGGTACAACAGGGAGAAATAGGAAGCCCATGTATAATTGACCCTTTAACGGAGCCGCACTCAAGCAGGACAAGGCTCGAGTGTGCGCCATCGAATCTTGTACACTGACAGCCCTGGCTAGTCACGCCGCTCCTTCTATTAGGGTTGAAGGGACTTCGTCTGCGTGGTGATTAGTGCAAATTTCGGAAGTTTAATGTTAATGGCGGAAGGACGTCCGGGGGATCGTCGTGGTTCCGTTGCGGGTGAACCCAAGGCCCTATGGGAGCGCCACACACAGGCCAGACGACCAGTTCAGCGGATGGTTGATTAGCTTCGTTCATGCGCCTTTCTCAAGATCTTGATGCGAGTTTATTCTTGTAGCGTGTGGCTAATTAGTGGACTCATGATCATCATGAGATAAGAATGAAGAGCGGCAAGCAGAAACTGACATAGATGTTGACAATTAAGTCGTCAGATAGCAACAAGACTTGATATAATCATTCACACAAAACAAAGAATACGCCAACAAGGTCAACGCACGACTAGCCCTCTATCTGGTGCTAAGGGAAGACGTCGGATCGTCGGCTATCTCGCGTGGCTGTCGTAGACCTCAGACCATCTAGCGTTCCAGATTCCACGCAGCGGTACCCGAGCCGATTGGTCGAGATGGTCAGGAAGATAGCTAACAGTGTCAATTGAAGGCACCAGGCGTGTCGAGCATGACTAGCAGAAGATCAGCCTCGCCAGATTTGGTGCTAGCGACCAATGTCGCGCGTCCAAAGACCTGGCTGGACAAACAGTACGCCTGAAACGTAGCGTCTGTGTTGCTACCTCGCCGAAGTGGCTGCTCTATAAGTAATGGTGCCATTTCATGCGTAGCAGTTCTCATGCACTTCTTTAGAGTTTAAAACATCGTGGCTTGCGTTGGCATTGGTAAAGCGCGACCTTTATAGCTCTTGTTGATACTGCTCATCGTCAGCGCCATCTTTCCGGGCTTTCGAAGAACTATCATCAAGTCCCTGGGCAACCCATTCATCTTTGATCAATCTAGCAACATTTTTCCCGCTCAATGTACTTGTCTCCATAGTGCTGATAAAGCTCTCAATACCACTAGTATACCACAGGCCATCGTCGAGCTTGATCTCCTCAAATGTCACACGCGGGTATTCTCTTGGGTACGAGTACCAAAGCTTGTGATGAATCCAGCTCACGGTTCCGTTGACATTACCGTGTTCGGCTTCCTCGGGGAAGACATCTTGGCCAAGGATGTTGGAGAGGAATGTGGCGTTGACACGGAAGGGTGAGAAGATCTTGTAGATGTATTCAAATCGAATCGGAGACGACTCTGGGTTGAGGCCAGCATCGGATACGGATATACTGTAGAAGCTGGGCGAGCCGGCGCCATCCACTGGGATCTCAGCTGGCGGTAGCGTAGTAAGGACGTATTGTGGCACAGGCGTCTTTGCATCTAGATTGAATGCTTTCTGATCCAGCCTGAAAGGTGACGCAAAAAGAGTGGTATACAACTTCGTATAAGGTATCTCATCAGGGACGTGGTGTGGCGCAGGATGGATATCAAGATCTGAGTACTGAAGAGGTGCTGCGAGGACAACTTCGTCAAATACGGAGGTCTGGCCGGCAGCTGTAGTGACTTCGTAGCTGCCATCCTGTTGCTTGGACATTCTGGCGATAGAGGTGTTGAGATGAATATTGGCGCGAGAGGCCTTCAACATATGCGCGAAGATCTGCCAATTGCCTCCTTCGATCTGCATTGCTCCATTTGTTGCCATGCATACCATCGTCTCCAAGCCGTGAATGTAGGGCAGATTCGAAGCGTAGTTGACACGAGTGCTAGCTTGGATGATCTCCTTCGAGAACGCCTCGCCAATGCCGTTTGCTTTGAGATACTGTTCTCCCGTCACTCCAGTGGCTTCCAATAGCCCCACTCGCTCGACAGCGTCGCCCAAGTTCTTCCACGGAAACACTGGCTCATCATACATCTGGAAGAATCTGCCCACAGCACTCTTCATCAGCCTGTTTGTCCAAAGTGGCGCAGCACCGTATCTCCATAGCAGCTTCGCCTTGTCCCACCAAGTGTCTCCGGCCTTTGTCACGATAACAAATTCACGTCCATTCCAGATGCCCAGATCAGGCATGTCCATTTGGGCTGCGAGATCGTGCCCGGCAGCCGATAGATTGAACTCCTCCATGGCTTTCACCATTATGCGATTGCTTTGTACGAAGATGGAGCCGCCCAACTCCACTGAAATTGTTGGGTCGTTCCATGGGTTCACGGTTGTTGTGCGACCACCAATGTAATCGTTACGTTCGAAGACGGTGATGTTTGTCGGAATGCCTGCCTCGGCAGCATACTGGGCGAGATGGTACGCAGCGGATGAGCCACCTGCACCTGCACCTGCTGAGACTCAGTACCAGCATAACCATCTTCTAGAAATGTGCTCTTACCTATGATAGCGACCCGTCTTGCGTGATGAGGCGGTTCACTGGCTCTGAGAGCTAGCGTGCAAGGTAGCAGCGAGGCAAGGCGCAACCATTGCACCATCATGGGCGCTCGGTTGATTGAACGGTATCGTTTCTTTATGTGGTATGGGTGAAAATTGAAGATGAAGAAGCGTTGCTACCTTCAGGTAACTTCTTAAGTCATGGTGGTATAGTAGGAAGAAGGTCCCACGTAAGAGTGCGATGATGACGAAGACAGCCCCGGGAGCATGGATCAACCAGCGCCAGTTACCTAGGTACAAACAAGTATTTGGAGACGATGCACTTGTGCAGCACAGCAGCATGGATACCGCGTTGTATATGTTCAGATCTGCCTTAAGAATCCAACAATCTACTCTCACTGAGGCGCAAGCGATGAATAGGAAGTCATA